CACACACACACACACACACACACACACACACACACACACACACACACCCACACATGGTTTACCACCTGGATATGAACAAAAATAAGTCCGAACTTCGCTCTCCATGAGTTTCAGTTCAAACATTTGAAGCCCAATAGCTCTACAAGTAGGGCCGCTAATTTAGATCTCGGGTCATGTGAACCAGCAGAGGCCGGTTTCAGTCTCAGTTCCAGCCTCTGGTCATGCAAGCTGCTCAGAATTAGCCAGTCACACCATCTGCTGAGAAACAGGCAGAGCCCAGGAGCATGCCAGGCCACCTGCTTTCTGCCGGTCATCTGACAGCAGAGGAAGACCGGGCTGGGGCCACGTGACCCGATGGACATAAACAGTGGACAGAGCAGCTCGGGATTTTTAAAGACTGGATCTGAGAGCAAACACGTTTGAGTTGTTGTTGTTTGTTTTGTTTTGTTTTGTTTTGTTTTAGCATTTCCCCTTAAATCTCTCTCACATTTTCACGGCCACCTAAAACAAAATAAGAGAGAATCAATGTCCAGGAGAGGGTGTGTCCGCCTCCTCTGGGGAGCAGAGAGAGCGAAAGGAAGTGGCAAATGACAGCCAGAAAACAGCCGTTCTCACACATGCTGAAAAGTTCCTATACCTTCAGGAGGAACTCCTTCCCGGCGGTGCGGATCTCGAACTGGCCCTCTTCCCCCTCCACGTCGTAGGTCAAGTACGCGTCGCCGATCTCGATGTGTCCGAGGGGCAGCGCGTCGTGGGGAGTCTTGAAGTAGTACAAGTAACATTTCCTGGGATCGTAGACGAACCATCTGGGCTTGTAGCCCCTGAGGGGCCCCTTGCCGGACAGTTTGTTCAAGTACCCGCACAGCTTGGAGGCCTGGTCCTTCGCCCCGGCGACGTCGGTCAGATCCACGGACCTGAAGGCCGCTGGCCGCGGGTCAGGGCCGGAGGGGGCTTCGCTGCCATCCTCCTCTTCGTGCATCTTTCCTCGAACTTTTTCCTTCGAGCAGCGCAGCGGATGCCCACTCCTGTTTCCATCCGCATGACCGTCCGTCCCGGCCAGAGGGCTTCTGGGAAATGTAGTTTAACCGGTGACGCGTGCGAGGGAGTGCGCGTGCGTAGTTCGGCCGCGGCCTCAGGCCGAGGAGTTAAGCCGTGCGCCGCTGGGTGGAGATGTTTGACTAAAGAACGCTCCAGAAACGTCCAAAAGAGACTGATAGATGATAATAAATGATAAAAACAGCTTTCTGTTAAAACAGGACCGGATTTAGTTGATTCCACGAGTTAAAAAAAAACAGATAAGAAAGAGAACATCTTTATTGAACCTCCTGCAAGCAGAGCCAAGTTCATGAAAATACTAAATTTCCTCATTCACAGATTGCCGGAGGATTATTCTAAAAACTTTAAGTTCCACATTAATTGTTTTCCATGTAGTTACAAAAAGTTGGAGAGCAAATAATATCAGGAATATCTGTTTACTGATGCTGACACAGGAGGACTGCATGCTTAACGTTAAGTATCTCCATGGAGTAATGAAATCTCACTTTGTAAACATGTCTCATAGCCTACCACCTCATCGTTTCCTCTGAACCGACCCCTGTAGAGCCCCGAATTAGCCACTGACTATCGTGTCAGGCTGGGAAATAAACAGTTAACACGTGCCACATAGTTAGTTTTAATCTACCGGACATTTTTTCAGACATTCAGATCAAATTGTCATGTTTCCAGGATTGTTTGTACGTATCTTGATAAAGTGGAATTGTGCAATTAGATGGATTCATTTGGTGGAAAACATTGGCTAAAAGATGTAGCTGGTAAAATTGTCAGATTAGCACATTGGAACTGTCTGGTTGAACTTTTAAAAGGCCCAAATTGTATCAAGTTGTTTTTGCACAAAGTTGAATACATGTAAGTGTTGTTAATAATCTTCTCGATGTCGTCTGTATTTCACAAGGTTAATACTGGCATTCTAAAATTGCATTTAAAAACCTGAAACCAACAGGAGAAATCAAGCAAAAATATAAACATGAAAATGATATATCTTGATAACCTTTCCAGTTGCATAACTATTATAGATTATAATCCAGTATTCTGTTTTAACATCTGTTCATCGTGCAGGTTAAACACGATCTTCTCCTTGTGGTCTTTGACCAAATCTCTAAATGTTAAGACATGTGCCTTGAATTGGCGAAACATTAACTGACAAATGAGATCATTATATAGAGTTTCCGGGTTCATCTTGGTTGGTAAATGTGACTTTTCGGTCACAAAGATTCTCAGGAACATCAGTAAGTTTATCATAAATGAAGAAAAATAAAAGGCAGAAACCAGGTAGCTGGTAAAAAAAAAAGAATGTGGACAATTTGAATCGTTTCTGCGTGTCATTCTCCGTCTTGGCCCCACACCATTACTGTCATCCTACCCACTCCAGGCAAAAACAAAAATCTGTACAGCAGAGTACATCTTACATATAATAAAAAATGAAAAGAAAAATCGTTTAAGAAATATTCTTTCAGCTTGCTCAGTGTCTAAAATAATTTCCTCTCTCTCCGCTCTTCTGGGGTACATTGTTTGGTAATTAGTTATTCATCCTAAATATGATGAGCTATGCATTTAATGTGTAATCGCAGTGTGAATCATACAATAAGAATTAAACAGGAGGACAGATTATCTGATGGAAAACTCCCACTGAGGTCAAAACTCCCACTGAAGGCAAAAAACATGTTTCTGTAGATGACTGATGGCTGTTGACCTGCTATCACATCCCATATGTGGGTTTTAGGGCTGTGAGCAAATATCACCTGGATGGTTAAATGTAGGGAAATACGCTGCTCACTTTTACCATTGGAACTGGAGCCTCTAAAAACAAACAACACCTTTGTTACAGTAAAAAACCCAAACCCGCTCTGAGCTCTGTGGGATTTTTCAACTTGGAGAATTAGTTTATGTTAGATTTATCTTTCACTTCCTCTTGGAATCATTGTTTGGTTTAAGAGGATGTTATACCCAGAGGCCATGAAAGCGCTTACAGAAGTGATGTGGTTCTGTTGACATTTCATACATTTCAACTGACTTCTGACCTTTAAAAGGTCCACATCCCCCGATAGACGTGTTGCCAGGGGGCCGAAAACACACCTACTGAAAGACATTTAGTCTGGTATCTTTTCATCCTGACTGACTTCACACCATTAAAATAAATGTCTGTTACTCAAATGTTTTAATGTGTGCGCTTAACATAATGTCACAGTTCTAAGGTTCTTGTCAAAGCTGTGATAACATTTGACCCCAAACCTCATCACTCCCCCAGAGGAGCACGGAATGACTCACAAAGATCTGTGAAGCAGATACGGAGCACTGGGTAAAGTGTGTTGAAATTTTAGGTCATGTCACTGTAGAAATACTCTGTCATATCTGGAACATAAGAGTACAGTTATAGGCTACACCTACGATGTATGTTAGATTAACCCTTGAATTAAATAAAATCCCAATCTTTCAGGGCTACTGAAGATATTTCCAAGACTCAGTGTTTACAATCTGACCCCTGTGTGAGGGCAAACTTATCTCCAGAGAGGGATGAAATAAATTTGGTCTAATTCTGCTCAGGACGACATACACTTTTCTTATTTTTCCTCCCCCTCACATGGAGTTCCAACAACTCCTGGCAGTACCAAAGCTAATGGAGATGATTCATGGCAAAATATTTATCTCAATGCGAGAACTTAAAAGAAAATCCGGGAAATGTCTCATCATCTCAGAGCCTTGTTTCAACCCCACAGAAGAAAGTGCTTCCTAAATGTTTCCATCCTTCCTTCTGTACAAACTACGGCATGAAACATCAACTGTTGACGCAACTTATCCTAAGTTCCAATGGTAATCAAACACTTGGTGGGTACAAAAACGTCTCCTGTTGCAAACCACCGTGTGCGTACAAACCACTGTTTCTGTAAACCTCGCTTTCCGTTTCTCTTCAGGAAGCTGTTTGCTTTGTTCAACAGCCTTCAGCTGCCTTCTTTTTTTTTTCCTATGCAAATGAACTGTATGAAGTCTACTGTGCCGTTGCCGAGTACCTCTGCTTTCCAGACCAGTGGAAAAATGTGTGTAATTGTAAATGTCATCTGTCTACATCTCCCGTGTAGGGTCACACTTTGAGATATTTCGGTTGGAGATTACAGACAGTTGAAGAGTTGAGAGAAGCATTTGAATCTTTGCTGAAATGACACCAGGCTCAAAGCACTCACTTGTGATTTCAAGGGCAGGTAGGTTTTTCTGTCGGCTGAAAAATGCTTTACAGACACAGAAAAATACACTTTGCTATTATTGTTTTTTAATGTTTTTTTTTCTTCATTTTTTTAGGCATTGAAAGGAACTGCTTACTACGGTACCAACAACAGAAACCCAGATCAGACAATATCTGCTGTTTGCCACCGTCCAAACAAAAAGGTCAAAACTGTACGAAAACATCCTCCTTCTGGACCCGTCTGAAGTTTGGTTTTAAGGTAAGAACTCTCCCACTACTACCAGTCTCTCACTCCATAAATCATTAACTTATATCACCACATACATCCATGCAAAGTTTTATTGTTTGTTTTAACACCAGTATGATACGGCAGACGAGGAGATATTTGTGAATAAGGGATTGCCAGTGAACTGGAATATAACTTGTTTCTTGAATCGCTAGAGCAGTATGATCTGATAACACGAAACAGTGAGCACTTTTTGAGCAGCAAGCAACAACCATGGAAAGCAGACTGGACTCTCTTTTTGCTTGTTTCTTTTTACTGCAGAACCACATTTTTTGCTTCAACAGGAACAGACTTTCAGGCTCTGGTTGACACCTCCTGGAAAATAAGCAAATTAGACTGCTAAGGGACTGACTCACTGGACGCGTTTGGAAGTTAATGCTGACTCGTGTGTTGTTTTCATCAGGATCGGGTGAGGATGGAGCAAAGAGAACCTACAGTGGACCCTGTCCTTGATGGGATCGAGGGGAAACTCAAGGAATTAGCATCAAAGTGGTTCATAGATACTCAAGTACCATTTATCGTGAATAACGGCCTTTTCCCCACATGGTTTTTGGGCTTCATCACCAGAAGGTTAGTACTGAATGACAAAAGCATTAGTGAATTTGAAACTTTATACGAAAAATGTCATATGTATATAGTATGCATTTCAGTAGTATTTTCTTTAAATTATGGTAAAGATTTTTTTGTTTTCTATAAAGTAATGGAAAAGTCCACTTTGTAACACACCTACCCTTCGGCACATAAAGATGCCAACCTAAAAAGCTGTAGCGTATTGGCAGAGGCAGGTTTATAGAGAGAGCCTGCAACAAAATAGGTCGCCAAAGTGAATTGGATAATTATTTTTCGCTCTGCTCAAAATGTGTTCCCGTAAACCAGATGGTCATGAGACACTAAAATACATCATGATATTAAATATTTTGTTTGTCTTTCTACAGGGATGCTGAAGAAATACTCAAGGAAAAGGAGTTGGGCTGTTTCCTGATCCGTCTTAGTGATAAGGCCATAGGATACATTTTGTCATATAGGTGAGTAATTACGTTTAAACTATCTATTGCACCCCCTACATACGTAGAATAAATAATGTATAAGTAAAAAATTATTTATTTCATATTCAGTTAGATTCTGCTCCATATTTTGTCGTTCAAAATGAACATGTTTCAGTTATGCTAGCTCCAGTTTTAAACCCTGATTTTTTCCCATGGCAGAGGGAGCGATCGCTGTCGGCACTTTGTGATCAACCACAGTGAGACAGGACAGTTTGTGGTTTGTGGCGACACTGAGGGACACAATACCATGCCTGAGCTCATCGAGTACTATAAGACGAGGCCCATTCAGCCATACGGAGAGTATCTGACAACTTCATGTTTTGAGGTAAGAGAAAAATCTGGTTTAATTTCTTTATATAAGACCTATTAGTGATCACGGTCTAACAAGAGTGTTTGTGTCTTCAGAATCTCAACGAGGACTTCTACGACATCATCCAGATTAGCCCAAAGGACAAACCTACTGCTGCTTTCAGAACGGCCAAGAATTTAAAAAAACTGCAGATCCACTCCAGCACAGAGCAGCAACCACCGAGGCAGCTGAAGAGCAACAGAGGCCAAGAGGTACAGCTCATAAATTGACGAGATTGTACCTTGATTTATACATCGTGCTTAAATGCAAAATATTCATGTCTCCCTGTACTTTTTTCTGACTTGTGTTGCCAAACAGGAAGTACCCCCCTTGCCCCGAAGGAGCAGGCTCCTGGACGGTACCCTGACTGAACTCGACAACGTCCAGTACGCTCTGCTCAGGAAGCAAGCTCCAAGGGAGATCCCCAGGGTCCAACACATTTCACAGGACAATTTATCTGCAGCTCAGAGGACAACGGACAGTCAGAGCAGTGGCAGACTCAGTCCTCCGTCAGATCCGGAATCTCTTTACTCTGAGCTCAACTTGCTTGAGTGTAAAAGCCGATCCCTGCCTCTGCTGGACACCCGCTCCAACGGGGATCAGTCCCACAGGCTGAGCGTTCCGCCGGACACGCCGCCGAGGCTCTCTCCCAAGCCGGTCAGACAGGTCCCCAGCAGCAACCCCCGGCTTCAGAAGACGGATGTGGCCGGCCGGCCCAAAAGCAGCTTCAGCGCGGACTGTATGACCGACCACACGGTCTATTACCTGGCCGGCCAGCCGACCAGACACAGCCCAACGTCCTTTGACAACAGACTGACACCGCAGCTGGACACTGATTCCGTGTATGCCGAGGTCACCGGTGAACCCCCCTTTTTCACCCAAGACACCACATATGAGCCACTCCCTGACCACGCCGAACGGGTCAAGCTGAAACCCAACAGCAACATGTACGCACCTGTGGAGGACATGAGACGCAAAAATAGCCCCTCCTCTGGAGTAAAGGTTAGTAAGAATTTTGTTATTAGTTCCCGCTTACGCCTCAAGTAAAGTTCTGTTTTCTGATCATAATGTCTGCATTCTACAGTGTGACAAATGGAAATGGCTCTTCCCCGAGGCCAGGAGAAAGTAGTGAAGATGTTCCCCAAAAAGCAAAGACTCTGTTAACTTAATTTCACGCGTTTTACACTACTGTGCAACACATTAATAAACACTTTTTTGCAACAGAAAACAACCGCTGTATATTTGCTTTTAGGAATGTTTTTTTTTTTATGTTAAAGCACTATTTGATTTTTTTTTTCTTTTAATGTGAGTTGCTGTGCCAAATATATTGATATTTTAATCAACTGTTTTATTTAATTTATCACTATAAATTATTTTGAAGGGTTTTCACATTGAAATAAAAAAAAACACCCTGGTGAGGTCATACCGAGAAAAATCAGGTTGTTTAACCCACAAACTGTGATATCCAGTGGATGGAAACGATTTTTGTTTGCTTCACTAGTGACAAATTTTGGTGTATTGAAGACATACTCTAAGAACATCTACTACATTGGAGCAAAAAGGGGTTTTTGTACCCTCATTGGCCAGTTTAGGTGTCACACTGCCATCATTGATAATCTAAGTTTACTTGTAAAACAACGTAAATAGAAGATGAGGGGTTTTAAACTAGATAACTATATGTTTCCATGTGTATTTGCATGTTTAGGTGCCAAAATACATACCAAATCATGATTAATGGGAGATTTAACCTCTTATTAGAGCCATATTTCTGTTGTGCTGTGCTCATTACCTATGTTTTTTATTCTCATCACAAACAAGAGGAAAATTACTGTAAGACAATAGGTCTCAAAGAACTTACTTGGAAAAGCCATCAAAAGCCCCACACCTGATGATTTAAAAGTGTTTCTGCCACCATCAGCGCTCCGCTTCATGCTGGGTATCGTAGGAAACCTTATTTGCATACAAAATTCAAATGACAGCATGTGACAGCAATGGGGAAATGTGCTGAAATGTCTTTCATAGTCAGCCGCTCTTTTACTTTCCTAATTATAATTTTAGTGGGCCTCGCTGTCAATGAGGCCCGTATCTCTGTCTACACTTGAATGCCTCCACAGTTTTTATGTTAAGCGGGAAATACAAATACTGTCTGCATTTTGTTTTAAGAGCGGATAGAGCCACAGATACTTGGAAATAAGGTGTTTACTCTGTAAGTCATGGAAACCAAACGGTGACATATAAACCTACAACGAGGCCCATTCATTAAATCTCTGTGACACTTCTTTCACCTGCTCTTTAACAACTCAGAACCACAGGATGAAGTATTACTGGAAAACCAACAGTGGTGTGTTTAAAGCCATAACTGTCAAATGTGACTTTGTAACTGCCTGAGCATGTAAACGTGGGGGAATGACGTACCACATAATCAAATACTTCTAAGTCTTGAATAATTATTAAATCAGATTTGTGAGCAAATGATAGATATATGTTCAAAAATAGATAATCCGAATACATTGAGAATTGAAGAAATTATTAAATACAACTTTGACCAATTTCTTTTGACAGAACAGTATTTTTCAAAATATTTATTTTAATGACCTCGTGTCAGTACCATTAAACTAAATCATGCAACAGAATGTACAATATTTATCATTCATGCCCTGCCTATACAAGAAAAAATAAACTGGTTCAAATTTTTCCCAAATAACTTTCTTGTTTTATGACAAACTAGCATAAACTTGATTATTTCTACATTTGCCATTCAGCTGTTTGTAAAACCTCTGCTACTGTCAGGCCGAAATCAGGGGGCCGCTTGTAAAATTACCTAAAAACAGGAAACCAATAGAATTTTTGTGCACCATTTGGTCTATCTCAATCCCAGAAAGCAGTTACTCACGCTAACGGCGGCTTTACAGCCCCGGTATCACGTTGCACCAGAAGCTTCTCTGCTGGTTTCTCAATTAACAGATGTTCCCGGTGAGACCAGTAATTAATGGGGCCACACAATCAGCTTTCTATTGTCCTGAATATTGAAACTGTCCCCATAAAAGCTAGTTGAGAAAATAGATAGGGGCATTTACTGACAGCTGTAAGGACTGCCTAACTGACTAATCCTCCACCATTTCCATTCCAATTCGGTAGCAAAAAGCTTAAAAACGTCTTCGTATCAATTGATGGAACTTTCCTATCCGAATATTTTGATCAATCTGTCTCTAACTCCTTATTTTAAATCCTTATGATTTTAAGCAGATGCTTGGCCTGAATGCCATGAGAGTTGCCTTCATTCATTCAGCATAACCTGTATGAACAACCTGATGAGTCATAAAAAACAACAAGGGACACTGTATTTTATATCTCTGTGATTTATCAGCGTACGGCCCAGAGACCCACCACCCATTAACCATCAATGAACATGGTTTGGACTTTTTCTTCCCATCTTCCGATGAGCCTAATTATATGTGCAGGATGCCATCCTGCTTGTAAATGCTGAAGCCGCTTATGGTCTCAGCCACCTTAATAACTTATGTTGAGCATGTAATGAGTTGTGACAGTCATTTCCTAAGCTGTACTGATCTTTGATCGTGTTGAGTGGGTGGCTTTGGAATGATTGGTTACATGCACTCATTAAATCAGAAGGTCTGATCACCTGAAAGGACACCTTCCTAAGGAACAAGGAGCGCTACCGTTTTTTAATTGACAGAGATCACAAATACATCCACATGAAGCAATTCGATCAGAACAAATAATATTTAATAACAGACAAATAACCAACTCGTGAAACACAAATCCAATTTCTGGCACCAACTAACATCTCATGGCAATGGTTGAGACACAAGATGAAAGCTACCTCTGTTAGCTGTTAGCTATACAATTCAGATATCAGAGCCCTTTAGATAACTTGAGTTATTTTTGATTGTCATAATGTTCTATTCTGACAAGCAAAAGCAAAAATCTAAACACTTCACAGACAAATGTTGCATAGCTCATAGATAATATATAGAATGCATGCCCTTAATTAATTGCAATGATTTCATTTAGTTCAAGCTTTGTCCATAGTCTTATAAAACCTGAAAATCTGGTGTGTCAGTGTAGGAAGACTTGTAGGAAGATGTGCAATGAACCTTAGGTAGATGAGTTCTCTAAAACAGGCACAAAACTGGCCTACTCAAGAAGAACTCTAAAATCCAGAAATAACATTATTTTTTGCTATTTAAGTCAAGCCCTTTTATCTAAAATGTTCTTTTCCTGTAAAACATAGCAGGTTTCAGATTGAAGATATCTTGATAAGAAGCTGGAAAAGACAGCTGCATGACCTTTCTTTGCAGAAGCCTTCTGCTTTCTCTTTCATGTAACCAGGACATGGTTCAGGTCGACTTTTACAGATCACAAAAACTGCCAATCCTCCCCTCTCAGATACGGATGTGAAAAGTACTGTAAGAAAAGAAGAAATAACATAGGACCATTACAGTACGGAAAGCACTAAGATGTTTGAATAAAAGAGCACACTAGTTGAGGATTACAGTGCTATAATAAAGATGTATTCGTCATGTAGAAAGGTACATATAAATCATATTGATTGAATTTATTCTAATGTAGTATCACTTACCTTAGAAAATCTGGAGCCCTTGATATCATATTTTCAAAGTCAGCATAGGAAAGTTTGCTATCTCCATCCAAATCTGCTTCCTCTATAGCTTTCTCACACACCAACTGGACCTCCTCGGGAGTCAGCTCCTCTTTTGTCAACCTATTTAGAGTCTTCTCAAGGTCCTCTTTGCAAAGATAATTGTCCACATTAAAATCTAAGAGAAACAGAAATGATAACAGGTAATTACATACTTTAAAATGCTTCAGTCCTGAGAAATTTGAAGATATGTAAACAGTGTTTCTTATTACCATATATCTTGAAGGCATAAATGGCCTTGAGTTCCCTCGGAGCCATTTCACTGAGAACTGAGAACATGTCCACAAATTCATTGAAGCTGAGGTTGCCCATGCCATCCTCTGAAAATGACTCCACAATCCTGTTGCGGAATGGGTTTTCCTGCACGTAAAACAAGATAATGCCTAGTAGTTTATTTTGTTGTTTGTTCGCTGTAATCACAGTTTGGTGGATTCTGCTTATTAAAGAGCTCGGATGAAAAAGCTGGCTCAGGCTTTGCTGAAAGCAATACAAAATTATGAACCCCCATAACAAAAAATAACAAAAAACAAGCTTACATTTGACACAACTTACGATAAACTTGAATTCACAAGGAAGTGTTTGTTACGCACAGATTCAAACCTTCTTTGCAGTAGTGAACTCTGTGAACTCATGGTTTCTATAAATCCACGTAGGGATAAGCTAACACGATGTCCCTTTTCCAAAAGAAGGCACCTAAACTGAAAGATGGAAAGGAGGTGCGTGGCCGTGTGTTTCTCTGACTCACATCGGTTTACTGCAGCTGCTGATAAACAGAAAAGATCTGTGTGGGCTAGGGGAACTGCGTTAATGTCAGCCCAAGGGAATCGTTAAACAATCAGAGAGAAATTCATCATACATTAGCTGCCTGCTTTGAAATAACCAGCGGAAACTGAGCTGCGTCTGCTGTGGATTATTCCTTTGATTTCTTCTTAATAAAATGTACCAATGTTCACTGAATGCCTCATTTCAGAAAGAAATCAAATGTTAGAATCCAAATGACTTCAAACCATACATAGACTTACAAAAGCCTCCAGATATGTGAAAAGTTCCTATGATTTACAAGAGGGATGTCTGTAAACGCCTGTCATCCCCACACAGCTCATTATGCCCAGCGAGATAGGAAAATATTCATCGTTATGATGCTGTAAACGGCTTTAGGTGACTGTATTGTCCATGCCTCATATATCCTGCTTTCATTACTCTACAATTCTCTCATGCCACCCTTGCAACCAGGCAGTCGTGGCAGATTTAGTGGTAATGTCCAATTTTGTAGAGAGAAACTTTTTTCTGAACTTTTAGTGAATAATTTGAAATTTGAAATGAAATTTATTCGAACATGATACAAATATAAAAATAAAATAGTGCACAGTAGCAAGACGTGCATCAGAAAGAAGAGAAAATACAGATTTTTAGTTTCAGTTAACATATCATGCTCAAAATGGGGTAGGAAGAAGTGAGAACTTCATGGCATAATCAGTAATGTAATGTGCAGGAGAAAAAAAATTATTTCAAATTCCAGATGCTCAGAAATAGGAGGGGAGGGAGTCTTGTCAGGACAGAAATACTGACCATTTCACGGACCATTAACGTCCACAAACTCACACTGTGTGATGTCATCCAACAAGGTCACTTATCACAGGGGTTAAAAATCCAATCTGTTCTCATGTGGGGGGCGTTCACGGGTAGTGTGTTGGTCAGTTTGAACTCAGGATGTCACCGAAGCTCAAAACAAGAAAAATAAAAACCGAAAACATGGTGAACATATACCATGAAGGATTATTTTTCTTTTACCTTCAGTTCTGGCATGTTGACAATCAGCGCTAAGGGCAGTTTACAGTCAGGATCATTAGTGTAGTCCATTGGTACGAGATGTGGTGCCAACTCATGATACCTGCCGTGCAACCTGGAGAGGAACAGAAAAGAGGTTTAAACATCCAAATTAATTAATTGCTTTGTCTCTGCCATTTGGAAAATAAACAGTGTGCAAGTCAACATGTTGCACAGAATGTTCAAGGAAGAATCACATTTAAAAATGTAAAAATATTCATATAGGGTCCACACATCTTCTCAAGTAGTTTTTTTATCGTCAAACTTCTTGAAGAAATGGCAAAATGTACATTGGAAACACGTGAATCTCTGTCCAGATCTGTTAAAAGTATCTAGGTCATTTGTGGATTTCTGCAAGCAGCTTTCCACCATCAAGAGAGAGATAGTGCCCTCTGAGTCATGATCCCCGGGTTCAATCACTGGATAGTCATATTAATCTTTAAAGCATGTCGAAAGAGCCAGAAATGTAACGCTCCATTGGGTGGCACTGAAAGCAACACCTGAGTCAAAGGGTCAACACGACTTTCAGAGGTTTAGGTAACACACTGTCACACAGACATGCAACAGAACCTTCCAGATCCTTCCTGCTTTTTTTTTGCACTCGCAAGAGACCATGTCACGTCATTATACTGTAATAACCGTTTTACCGGGTGGGAACATTTAGGTCAATACAAATCATGTTTACCCACTAAGTGCACTGCTCTAAAAATATACTTAATGGGGACGCATTCAGTCATTTTGCATTTCTCCTTGGGATTTGCATATTGCATTTGTTTATATGGCACAAAGCTAATTTTAGGAGGGCTGACTGGAATAAGCATGAACACAAAACTTTAAAACTGAAAGATGCTGATCAGAGAAAACATGTTTCCAAAAGGCACAAAGTGATGCTCATGTAACATAAATAATTACATCGATCATTTAATTGATTTACTTCCACCATTGATTTACTAGGTTAATTTTGCCGGGGAGATAGGAAAAAGTTTGCACAGGACAGGAAGCTAATACAGTCTAGAGGGATTTAGATCTCTTTTAAACTAACTACTTGTGATTTTAAAAAAGCTTTAACATCCTATGTCCACATGAGTAAGAGCCCATGGAGATAAAAAGCTTTATAAAGAGCATTCTGGACAACTTTGTTAGAATAAAAGCAGGAAGCAAGATATTTGGTTCACAAATGACCGACAGCCCACCTGCCAGCCATTAGTCAGAGCCATGTACCAAATAAAATCTTACCGCAGAATTTCCTTGCGAGTGAAAAACGTACAGTCCTGCAGTGAGAGAAAAACAGCAGTAAAACATACAGATGTGAGAACCACTTAAGCTTCACATGCAGAAAATGTTGGAGGATAATCTGCATTCTGCACTCTGTGTGACACATCTGTGAGTCATGAGAAAACATCCCAGCTCCTCTGAGGGCATAAAAAAAGCCCTCTGAGGTGTCCGCTTTCTTCTCAACAATGATGTGAGTACAGGCAGCAGCGTGAGCCGCTCTTGTCTGACACGCATATGCTGGCACACACACGCATGAGCCAAACAGCCTTGCGGGAGGCACCTCAGCTTACATTTGTTTCTTGTATCCAGCTGTCTGAGCTTTGCTCCTGGGAAAGAGACAGCGTGGTACCCAAAAGGCAGCCATGTCCGAGCATAAGAACAGCAGGATCTGGACAGTCAAGACTTAATAGCTTTGGTCCAAATTCAAAATGTTGACTGATGTAAAGGTAGTGCAGTGATGTTTGTGAGGCCATACTCCAAAGTTCTGACAGCTGATGCTGACGTTTTTGGACATTTGTTAGCAGGATCTTGAAAAACTGGGAAGAGAAACTAAGTATAGAACAAACACAAAGCTACAGTGTTCTAAGAGGGGCTTTTTAAGAGCCGCTCTAGTAACCAGAGAGGCTCTTGAGAACTAGACGGAGTCCTGAGAGTAGAGTTTCACCACATATCACTGACTTGGCATCAATTATTAAGTCCACACCTAATCACATGATAAACCTGTGCGTATGAAGATGTGTATCTTTTTGGGAAAACCTGTATTTTTGGCAAAGGGACAAAAGGGGACATCTTCTCCGGCCAGGGCTCGGCAAAGATCCTTTGTTTAATCAAGGAAATGAAATCAAACCCTCTGCAATTCTCAGCTAACGTGGCTACTCGCTATACTTAAGAGAAAAATTCACTCAGGCATATGAATAATTTATGAAATCATTAATGAATCACTCATGATAATCAATTACCCTGAACATGCTGGTTTTCCTTTTTTCTCCTTTCAACATCAAAAGAATGCAAAAAAAGACAAACAGTAATGAACAGAGAGAAAATCATTTTATTATTATTATTTTACTAATCTCTTCATTTCTTCATAAAAGCTCTTTCCTTTGACAGGATGAGCACACGTTTCAAATGTCTGTGTGAAGAAGAGTAAGGTGTTATTTCATACCCTCTCCGTCTTCCTCATGCAGGTAGACACAGGCATGCCAGCTTACCTGGTAAGCATCAAGTTGCTCGTCTGTAAAGATTGTTTGCTTGTTTCCCATCTTTATCAAGTCATTTGCTGCTTGTACACATTCACAACAATGAACGTCCCAAGCCTTTTCTCAGTGAGAGGCATTTATGAGGTCCGCAGAGTCAAAACCTCTGCACAGGTTGATTTGAGATCCTCGCAAACGCTTAAAAAGTCTTTTGTTATTGATATCTGTCCAAAGATAGTTTGTCATGACAGCAAAAATCTGGTTAAAATCCATAAAAAGGAGATGTTCCAATATCCAGCTGTGCTTGAGCCGGAGCGGTGGCTGTTCAGCGTGGATGGACTCGATGAGAGCCAACTGATCCGCCTCTCCTTAAGAACCCAGGTGGTGTGTCTCCTGGAGTCCAGGGAAACCAATGACACATCAGGGAAATAAATAAATAACGAAATGCAGAGCGGAGGCTGCTGGTAATGAGGGTGATGTAACGGCAATGTGGGCCGCCTAGATAAAACGTTTTATTCACCTTAATTCAATTATAGTAGCAAAGATAAGAATGACTCAGTTTATATTCCATTTATTCACTCTGCATCTATTGAATGGTCAATCGGCCTATTATAAAGGGGTTTTATCAGCCCTGCTTTATAATCTATTGCACAAAGTTGTGTTGAGATGCCGGACATAATTATGCAATATCAGGTATAAAAATCATAATCTATAATAATTGAAGATAAGTTTTAGTGAAAGTGTTGATAACATCTTTAAAATGATTAGATGTTGAGTGTTTCAATATTTATTACGTCAATTAATGTAGAGCTTTTTTTTTGTTACAGCTTTTTAATGATTTATGGATTGTTTTCATTCATTTAGTTTTTACTAAGGCCACCTACATATGCAGAACAGGTCAATTTTTTTGTATAAAAAAACTGGTCCAGTAGCAGAGTGCTGATTTATGTCAGCTGGATATTCAAGACAAACTGTCCTTGAAATGTTTTTAAACATTTTTTTAATCACTGATAATCTTGTCACATAACTTAGGTTTGTGAGGAATGATTCGATGGAATTGTTAAGATCTCAAAACTCAAAAATATCACCAAACCTTCAGGTGTTTTGTTTGACAGTTTATATCATAATTGGCGTGTCCCCATATTCTAAAAGTTATGCTGAGTTAGCATAAAAAGCACAGCCTGTGCATAGTAAGAGCATTTTTTAAAAATGAAACATAACTATTAGGGACTTGAACCCGTGACCTGTTGCTTATGAAGTGAGTTATTAGACTCTTGTTTTCAGCCTCGTTTGGACCGCGCGTCGCCGTCCATCTGCTGGCCGTCCGCCCCCGCAGAGCCTGCTGTCCGTCCGGATCCACCTGCCGGCTCTCACCGCTCAGCAGCACAGCCGAGCGGGTCCTCACCGCAACCCCGGGACAGATGATCGTTTCACAGTTGTTTGAAAAAGAAAAAAAATCTCGCCTGGCTCTTACGTTGGTCGAACTGTTTCTTCTCTGTTGCGTTTGGCAGTTCCGTAATTAGGAAAAGTTGTCCAGGATGGACTCGAAGCGAGAGAAGGACCAAGGTGAGTTGTGGCGGGCGGCTTGTTGCTATGGCGCCGAGGCTAGCCACCGGCTGCATCGAGCTAACGCTGCTAGCTGTGCGCTAAGATAAGGGGAACCTCGCCGCCAATTGTTTGTTGCACCACGTCTTGCGTGTGTCATCGCAGCAGACGAAAAGGGGGGAGACTGCCGCCGCCTTGTTCAATAACCCACCCACTTTCATCCGGCTGAATCATCCGCATGAAGTCACGCAGCTGCCTCACAGGGCGACGCTCATGGCTAACACCCGGCTAGCTAACAACGTTTAACGTTACAGTTAGCTCGCTGTAATGCTGATTTGAACTTCGTTACCTGTTTTTACAGGAGCAACGCAACATACAGTTGTTGTTTTTTATTTTGTTCCTACTGTTCCCACCCATTTTGGTTTTGGTATTTTACTGGTGTTACATTTAAACCCACTTCATAACGTTGAGACATAACATGTTGATGTGGAGACCATTGGACACCGACGTCATTATATCTGGTTAAGAGGGTGAATGCAATGACAATTATTTTGTGTGCTTCTGGCATAGCCTTAAGCAAACTCAAACAAGGCCCAGAGTCCCTAAAGCTGTTATTCTCCCCTGGCCCTGGGCATGATGATATTACATAACTCTGGCCACATCAGCACATCTGCCAGTCTGTGACCCTCTCCACTGAGATGGACAGAGGGGATGCTCTGTGTGCGGTCAGCTGTAGAATTCACGGACTGCTTGTCTTGAAATCCCCTTCCTTAAAGAGGGCAGCATGGGTTGTTGATGTTTTCCACTGGAACAAACAAGGCTTGGAGCATTTTCTTCAGCGGCGCTGACTCACAGCGCAGGGCCATGCTGCTGTGCCTCATCAACAGGGAGGGAAAAGGAAAGATGTTTTCTCATGCACGGTGTGGATTGTTTCAGATGCAGACTGTGAGAAGATAACTGCCCTGCTGCTCAAGTCACGCACCGGAGAGTTTGATTTGGAGTCCATTCTGTTTCTCAAGCTGAGAGGTCTTGGTAAGATCAAAGTAATATGTTAGTATTTACAGCTGATGAGTTGGATGATTCTGTTATTTACATCTTTTTTTTTGTCATCCGTCGTCCTCAGGTGTGCACGATCTCGGGTGTATTGGGGAGTGTACAAGTCTGGAGAGGTTGGACCTATCTGGGAATAATATTAGTAATTTAGCACCTCTGGCTTCTCTTCGGATTCTGTCTGTGTTGAATTTATCTGCTAACAGGATTTCCAATTTAGGTATTGTCTGTATTTCCTTGTTACGTTTTCTTTTAGACATCTTTAAAAAATATAGAATGTGCATTCACTTTTTTTTAAATGTTGTCTTATTTGAATCTGCAGAGCCGCTGCGTAGCTGTGAAAGTTTACAGAATTTAAATGTGGCTGGTAACGTAATATCCAGGTACGATTTCATGATTGTGTTATGTTTTTCGAATGTTAATAATACAGTAATGCAGAAACACAGTCAAAATACTGTCATTTTATAGAATTTGTAATATTTTGAGAGATTATTCCTAAAAATCTTCCTTTTCCTTACACTAGTGTTGAGACCCTACATTGCCTTACTTCCTTGAGAAAGCTGGAAAACATACGTCTGAAAGACAACACCTACAATTTCACTAACCCGGGTACTTTTCACTGACATTTACATTTCAGTGGATAGAAAACCGGAATGAGAGAACTTGAGATGACTTTCTTTATGCCAGTTTGCAGGAACACATCTTACAGGGCTGTAGTGCTTGAGATGTTCCCCAGCATCAAGGTGCTGGATGGTAAGATATTCCGATTTTATTACTCTTAAGTAACATTATTAAATGAAAATAGTCTAAGGCAACTTTGAATTAATGATTCTAATTGTAGGTGAAAGAGTTGTGGGACGTGGAAGTGACTTGTACCAGTTATGCAAAGACATTGATGAGACCATTAAAGGTATTTGTTTTATTTATTCTTTATTGTTCTTGATTGTGATATTTATCTAAAATAGAATATCTTCTCCCATGGCATCACTGACATCAGAGATCCAGTTGTGTCAGCTTTTACTTTAAACAGTTATACTGTTATTCTTTTCCCCCTTTAAAGTATTATCAATCTTTTTTGTCTTTCTCTAAATGGTCAGCTGGCTCGTACAAGAATGGACAGCTCATTGAACAGCCTGACTGCAAGCCCTGGGTAGAAGATACTTACTGGGAAATAAAGAGATCGAGCAATGCCATTATCGAAGAGGCCTACAAGCAATTTAATGGTGAGCACAAGGGCACCGTGTTGCACGCAGTCTTACCAGTCACCAACTGACGTGTAACTCTTGTCTTTTCTTGTTTGTTTTTTCCTGCCTGCAGATGTTCTTCATGAATGCAGACTCCTCAACAACAGAGCCACACATGTGATTTCACAAACTGAAAGATCCATGAGCCTAAAGAAGCAACCAAAGCAATACGCCATATGAGTTGGGCTATTTCCCACGCTCGGGTGTGCAGTATTTAGAAACTTTTTTCATTGTGCAAATTACCATGGCTGATGTACTGTAGCTTTTTCAAGAAAAACCACAGAATATCAAAATGCTTGATATTTCCATTGCCTGGAACACATGCTCTGTGTTGCAGTGTGTGACATTTGCTGTAACTATATGCATCCTATGCATTTGTTATCAGAAAAAATGTGGGTGGTTTGAAAAAACTTTAACCATGCTGAACACCATTCGGTGTGGTTCAAAGATGTCTTAACTTGCTCAGTATGCATTTTGTATAATGCTGTAGCCTGTGTTATGCTGACAGCTCTGCTGCTTTTAAAGATTTATATAGGTCTTTGGTTATTAAGAGCTCTTTTTTCCATTTAGCATTTCTTATTTGGGGAAGTCTATTTGTCCCATGCTGTATGCTTTCTTTGCATTTTTGCAAAAAGTAAATGATTGTGTCTGCTGTTTTTAATGTTTTATACCATAAAGTTTATTATGTGTACTAACAAATTATGAGAGAGGGTGTTTATAAACCTATAAAGGAGCACCTCATTCACTGTCTTCTGGCAGTTTATAAGGAATGATATATCCGTGTCTCTCACTGTTTGCACATGTAGAGATAAAGAACATTTCCCCAGAATACATGTTTTAAATAATGGTTACTGAGCTGCTCACGGTACAGTTGGTTTAAGAAGCAAACCAGTGGCGCCATCTGCTGTTGATAACTGTCCCATGCCTTTTTCCCATCTCGATGTCACGATGAAACAATTATCCCTTTGAAAAACTGTAGAGTATAATGCAGAATTAAGATGTTTAATAAAGCTTTGCTATTTTAAGAAAGCATGTGGTTCCGTTTACCTTTTGTTGGGAGGGAGTATGCGCAAATTGAAGCTCGTATTCCCCCAACATAAAACAACACGATCGAATAATCCATAACAAATATCAATAAAAAAAATTTGAGCAGCGCTGTATATTATTATTATTGTTATTTTGACATTGCTGAGCTCACATTGTGGACACTTCCAGATAGTACCAAGTCTTTATTTGTGTATTAAACAGCGAAGGTTTATTTTGAAAAGCGGAAGTGAGGCTCTTAAGGCTATTAGCTTGATAAGTGCAGCACCCGCTGTATCGACCTTGGCTAGCTCAGGATGGCAGGAACGGCGTGGAGGTCAGCGGTATGTACATCTACATTTCTTTTTATCCGCCTGAAGTTTGGCACAGAATACTTTACGTCATGTCTCGCTTGTCAGTTGATGTTAGGATATCATTTTGACATCTACTTTGGTAAGGACAGTAGATGTAAAAACAGTGCATGCAGTGCTCACTATTTAGCTAACCGCTAACACAGGCTGCATGCTTAAAGTTACTATAGCGACGACTATTGAGCCAACTAGTAGCTAACTGGCTAGCAGTCAAGACTTGACTACTAGCTAGTTAGCAAGTAAGCTATTCAGCTGTTTTTATCCTAAAAATAAAGCATCTTAGTAGCAGTTTGTTGCTGATTGCTCATCATGAATATCTTCTGAATAAGCTAAGCTATGGCAACAAATGTCTATCGTCTACAGATTGTTAATCTTCTAAGAAAGTTGGGTTTATCCATCAATGACAAGGACAAAATCAAACCACAGAAAGTAAGTTAAGCATACTTTGTTGACTGTCCTTGCGACGGTAGTAAAAGAGCTAGCTAGCAATGTCCCTCAGTAGTAATGCAGTTGAAACTGCAATGGGCATCTTTATTTGCCACCTTAACGGAGCCCAAGGACGTTTGCTGTACCATATGTGCACTGAGTTGACCTTAGACTTTTTATACAGTTCCATCCAAGCTAAACTCACTAATCTACTAATGGAAAATTAACACTAAACACTGCCAACAAATCCTATTTCAACACATCTCAGTAGCTTGTTAATGGAAAAACAGTCATGTAAAGAAGATACTGCTATATTTGACTTTACTGATTGAACTCCACCTTCCTCTTAAAGACAGAAAAAGAAGGGGCACTCCAGCAGAAAATCAGGCAGCTTTTTGTTGAACAAACAGCTAAATGAACATGCAGTTATAAGACCTAGGGCTAACACTTTTGAGTGTTGGAGCTCCTTGTTCCACCAGAGCAGTTTTAACAAGTTAGTGTTGGTTCTATAAGTCTGTGGGAGTCTCCCAGAAGAATGGAATACCATTCTGTCAATTTGTTTTCCCTTTTTTGGTGTTTTCATGGTGCGGCTAGTGTGCTTTCTGTCTGGTGACTGCTTTATGTTTGGAGGAGATATAGGATATGAATATTTCATGATCGAATAAAGGTGATCAATTTGATAAATTTTACATTGTTTTGCACTGAACCCCTTCTTGTGATGAGGTAAGTATACCCAAACCTCACGAGCATTTTATTTCTACAGAGCCACAAGACCCCTCCACACACAGGGTGTGGTCCAGAACCTTTGGTTTTAGCTTACATTTGCCTTCTGTAGTTAATTTATGGAGTGTGCACACTACAGATGTGTCATGTGATGGCACTACTTAGTAGCTTCAAATAGGTTTACTGGACCAACACCACAACTGCACACATAAAAGAAAAAACGGAATATAAATTATTAACAGTTCGCAGAGTCATCAAGACTCATCAATTGTAAAATAAATACAACAAGGAGGATATTTATAGCTTTATTGATCATGTTTTTTGGAGGTTCTTTCTGGTGTGTTATATGTTTTGCGCTTTTTAATTGACAGGTTTCCCGCGTAGTGGGTGCTTTGAAGAATGAGACTCCACAATCCAGGAACTTCATCCGAGGGGTATATCTCTTCACTTCTAAAGCTACAGTAGTTTAGAAAAATGACAATCAACATAATTGCTCTTCATGTAATGACTTTAGTCAAGTTTACTCTTCACCATTCACGGAATTTCTTTATGTTAATGAGCGTAATCAGCCTTGTATTCTTGATTGCCATTTGTCTTTCTTTTGTCTCACAGATGCAAACTGTAACTTTAATCCCTGGTGATGGAATCGGTCCAGAGATCTCTACTGCTGTCATGAAGATATTTGAAGCAGCTAAAGTAAGTTCTGGAAAATAATAATAAAAAATAAAGTAACAATGACACAGATCTTTTTTTGATATTTTATTTGAATGACAGACATAGTTAAAATGGGAAGTACCGTTTTAATGAATAAGTGTTAAGGTTTATAGTTAAAAGAATTTAAAAAGAAATCAAATAATGGATTACAGAAACTAATTTAGTTCTTTTCCTGTACATCCGCCCTTGATTTAGGCCCCCATACAGTGGGAAGAGAGAAATGTTACTGCCATTCAAGGCCCTGGTGGGAAGTGGATGATTCCTCCTGATGCCAAAGAATCCATGGACAGGACCAAAATTGGCCTGAAAGGTAAAATAAAGTGCAGGGTTATTTACTTCAAGGTCATTCCTCAAAGTGTTTACATTTAATACTTTTTATTTGTCTAAATGTTTTATGTTATCCTCTTTCAACAACTCAGGAGAAATCATTTAGACATGTGGCTGAATATTCCCAAAGCAATAAAACTATACCAATGAACGCATTTGATGCAGTATTGAAGTAATAATGGGACATCAGTTCATTCAAAGAGGAATCCATGACAAATATGTTTTCATAATTTGTTTTGTGTGGCTTTTATTTAACCCAAAGGTCCTTTGAAGACACCAATAGCAGCTGGGCACCCCTCTATGAATCTCCTGCTGAGGAAGACCTTTGACCTCTATGCCAATGTGCGTCCCTGTGTGTCTATCGAGGGTTACAAAACTCCATACACTGGTGTGAACCTGGTTACCATCAGGGAGAACACTGAGGGAGAATACAGCGGTATTGAGCATTTGGTAAGACCCGCTGTTCCACTCCTGTCTTTCTAGATTTTCTTTGTTTCCAATATTTTTCATGAGTATTGTCATCAGTGTAAAGAAAAATAATTTGTCTGTATTTTGTGTGGAATTCTAGAAACGGTTCAGGTGATGGTGACCCTTTCTATTGGTATCTCTCTTTTCAGATTGTGGATGGAGTTGTGCAGAGTATTAAACTCATCACAGAAAAAGCCAGCGAGCGAATTGCCGAGTACGCTTTTGAATATGCGAGAAATAATCAGAGGGCCAGCGTCATTGCCGTTCACAAGGCTAATATCATGTAGGTATCATCCATTAAAAAGGCAGAGAAATCTCAAAGGCCTGCTGAGCGTCTGTGTTTTGTTTGCTTTGTAGGCGCATGTCAGATGGACTCTTCCTTCGAAAATGCAGAGAGGCTGCCGAAAAGCACAAAGACGTGAAATTCACTGAAATGTACTTGGACACCGTGTGCCTTAATGTAAGAAAAATAACTTACTGGAAACTGCATGCGTTTGTCTTAAATGCATAGTAAGTAGTCTTCAGTCACATCCGAATGAGCACAAGAATGGTTCTTCCTACTTACAGATGGTACAGGATCCCACACAGTTTGATGTCCTGGTGATGCCAAATTTGTACGGAGACATCTTGAGGTGAGTAGTCGTCACCACTGAAGCTTTTCATTTATGACATGGATTAGTTTGACATCAGGTTGTCATTAAAGGTATGAGGCAGGAGCCAGAAAAAGCTGACAGTAACTTGGTGTCTTTGGTGTTGCAGTGACCTCTGTGCTGGATTGATTGGAGGTTTGGGAGTGACCCCCAGTGGAAACATAGGGGCAAACGGCGTGGCTATATTTGAGTCGGTACGTTAGTCTCTATATATTCACACTTTTTTTTTGTTGTGAACAGTTTCAGGTACTGATCTATAAACAACAGAAGTGGCTTATTCATCCATCCATCCATCCATTATCATACCCACTTATGTGTTAATGGGGTCGCGGGGGGTTATACACTTTTCTTTAAGATCTAGAGTTTTCTGTCAAGCATAACGGTGGGCTGTTATGAAATGTCCGTCCTCCAGGTGCATGGAACCGCTCCAGATATAGCAGGAAAAGACATGGCCAACCCCACTGCCCTGCTGCTCAGTGCAGTCATGATGCTGCGGCACATGGGTCTGCACGGCTACGCCAACAACATCGAAGCAGCCTGTTTTGACACCATTAGAGACAAGAAGGTAAAAGGGTCGTTCTTTCTTTTTTTTTTAACCATGTTACGTATAATCCTTATAGGATTTATAATGGGTTTTTTTCTCTTCTCGTCTCCCAAGGTTCTAACCGGAGACCTGGGAGGAAACTCCAAGTGCTCAGAATTCACTGAGGCTATATGTCAAAGAGTGCGGGACATGGAATGAAATGAGTCGGTATGGCCTCCAGGTACTAGTTAGGATTTGGGTTTGTAAATTGATCACTTCAGTATAGAAAATTGTTAGGTGGATGGATTAATCAATTCATACTGTACTGTATCTTCACAGTTTAACTAAATAAGTTTTTTCAACTCAGGAGTTGGAGATCCTGAATGTCTTTATTTTTCTGCACTATCTCAACTTGCTGTCTTAAAACATTTGACCAACAGTTTCTGCATATGTCACACCGTATTCGTACAGTTTACCATATTCTTTAGTCGTTAATCTGTAGGAAAAACTGCTTTTATCTGTCAAATTTGATCTTAAATGTACTTTGCATTGTAACTTTAAGACAGGCTAGAGGAACAATCATTTGTCAAAGTGGCACAAGTATATATTCATGTTTGTGCGTGGGCTTTACTTTTATGTGCTTAAAGAAACTGCTTCAAGCTATAGCAGGCTGCAGAGAAAAGAGGCATTTTGCGCTTATGAACTCTTTCAGCTCTCTCCAAATATAAAAAAAGATATGTAGAATAAATTGCCACCAGAAACGCCAGACATTGAGTTATTTTTATTTTAGCTTTCTGCATATGATGTTTTTATGTGTGAGGTTTCGGTATTTATTTTTTTGAAGAGTTACATCCATGTTTTATAGTGGTTCTTCCAAATTTGGGTCAAACAACTGCTGAATATTAACAAATATGTACACAAAATATCAGATCATTTCCTGTTCTGCATGTTAAGTGGTAGATTTTAAAATGTTAAATACAATGACTCCAGTCTTTAAAAAAAAAAAAAGAAAAGAAACACATTAGAATGGTGGCAGTTTATGAAACCACTGTGAACATAAGAGAACAGAGTATTTACCAATTAAATAAAAGATTAAATGTTTTGAAAAACAAACCAAGTTATCATCATTATTGTTATTATCATGCATCCTGCAAATAAGAGTTATTTAATGATATCAAACTGCTTGTTTTGTAGGAGAATCGTCTCCTTAAGGACATGACGCCTCTTTGTAAAGGCTCTCTATGACGTTGTGGTACATCTCCATAACAACGGGGCGACGAAGCTTCATTGTTGGACCTAAAAGGAGACACCATTATGAGCTTCAGTCCCAAAAATTGATTCACAAAACCCATCTATCTATACCACTGTTACATAGTGTATAAGTTCAAGTAGAACATGCTGTGTACACACCCAGTTCCCCTCCTGAAACTGAAAAATCCTTCCTTAAAATCGTCCACTTCTGAATGCGCTGGGCATTAGAGATGGCTGCAGAGTTCACTCTGTTGATCCCTTCTTGCACTGCTTGGTGCACTTCTTTGTCTCTTCCCTCAATTATGTCAGAGACTTTAGAGGCTTGGCTGCCTAACTGTCTGCAGAACTCCACTGCCTCCAAGCTCAGCTCCTCGGTTGGCTCCATGGTTTCTGCATCGCCACAGCACTGAAATAAAACGTTCAAGCATTAACGCAGACAGTAAAGATACGCCAGCGTCTAAGATATGATATGCTTCCTGACTCTCATAAAAAGAGCAAGCAGCTGCGTTAAACCATTATCCTGCAAAGGTTAAAAAAAGAAAAACTGACCTTTAAAGTTAAGAGCATAGACAAGAACTTCCTCTTGTCTCCTATCAGAATGGCATTACTGATGATTGGCAGCTCCCTTTTCACTGCTTCCTCTATGGGAACAGGAGCAACATTCTCCCCTCCAGCAGTGATGATCAACTCTAAGAGGAAATGGATGTCACCCTGACATTTCAGCTGTTGATGACTCGGCACAGTTTTCTGGCATTGACGGGCTCACACACTTACCTTTCATCCGTCCTGTGATGTACAAGAAGCCCTCCTCGTCGATTCTCCCCAAGTCGCCAGAATGCAGCCATCCCTCGTCATCCAGAGCTTCTCTTGTTTTGTCCTCCATGTTGAGAAACCCCATGAAAATGTTGCGTCCCCAAAAGCAGATTTCCCCTATCCCCTCAGCGTCTGTGTTGGCCAGTTTGCATCGACAGCCAGGCACCACCTTACCACAGCTGTGGGAAAGAGTCTCTCATTCGGATTCAAACTCAAGACACGAGCACAGCATATGACACAGAATTATTCCCATGCTTGATTTTTTTTTTTTTTTTTTTTTACCTGGGTAGTTTGTAAGTACTGGGGCCTGACATGAAGTGAGGGCCCGCGCTCTCGCTCAACCCATAGGCCTCGTACAGGCGGATGTTTAAGCCAAGGAAGAACTGCACAGTTTCACTTCCTATTGGTGCCGCTCCAGAGAAGAACTTCTGACAGCAGCCCAGGCCCAGCTCGGCCCGAAGCCTCTGCAGCACCAGACTGTCAGCCAGAGACAGGAGGAATGGTTTCTCGTCGTCCCTGAGTAAGCAAACAGCAAAAAAAAGACCTTAAAAAAATGTCTGAGGGAATTCCACCATATGTAGCTATTCTGTACCTACTTTAGCAGGCATCTCTGATTGGCCTCCAGGCTGACTGACATTGCCCACGTTATGAGTTTCTTTTTCACATATCCACACTGACTAATGCCCTGCTTTATCTTCTCCATCATTTTCTCCCATACCCTTGGTACACCCATGTGGGATGTTGGACAAGCCTCTCGCAGAGTGGTTATCAGACTTCCCTGTGAAATTGAGAAGGAAAACTAAATTTTGCTTAACGTACCACTCAGCTTATTACAACTAACATTGTTTGCTCAATCATTCACTATTGTTTAGTACATAGATATGCCAACTCAATATCAAACTTCCAACAAAAGGCATGTTAAAGTTTCAATAAAAGTCATAAAGAACCGTGAGGCGTGCGATCCAAATCTCTCCAGCTGTTACCTTTAAGGCGTCCGGCTGTGCAAAGTACACCAGCCCCCCCCAATGGATGCCCGTCCACAGGTCGTAGATCTGAGCTGCGATGTGGCTGAGGGGCAGGTAACTCACAGCCGACTCCTGCTTCATGTTGGCTGGCTGCAGGTCTCCCACTCGGCTGGCATAACTGGCGGTCCAGGTGATCTGGATGTTGACCACAGACAAACGCGGGACAGCGTCCGGTGCGGCTTTCAGCACGACGAAATGTCCGTCTCAACGGGACACGGAGTGCGTCCACGTCTGTGGGAATGGGCAGTAAGGGACACTTACGTTGTCGTGGCTGAGCATGACCCCCTTTGGCTTGCCCGTGGTGCCGGACGTGTAGATGAGGATGCAGCACTGGTTGGCTTTCTGACTGCTGATGATGTCATCCAACTGTTCGTCAGAGACATCCAGACCCAGGTCCAGGAACTCGTCCCACTATCCAAGGACAGCAGTTTGCCATATGAGCACCGTCTCATGTTGTGCACAATTCTGTGTCCTCTGAAGAACTTACATTGTAGAGATTCGACATCCTCTGCTGGAGTTGTCCGCTGTACTGGACGATGGCTTTCAGATGAGGTAATCTGTCCCGTACCTGTGTTAGTAAGCGTGGGATTTTGTCTTTTTTTTATTCCTTCTTTCATTGTAACCAGTACAGGCACACTTATATAAATGAAGAGGTACCTGTAATATCTTTTCCAGTTGCTGCTGGTTTTCTACCACAATGATGTTTGCTTTGGAGTCACTGGCCACATACTCACAGGCCTCTGGTGAGTTTGTGGAGTAGATTCCTGTCATTACTCCTCTGCCAGAAACGATACAAGAAGTCATCATTATTTGAGAAGAAAAAAAGAAGTGTTAGTTTTGCTGCAAAAAATAGACAGCAGTGATGAGTGTACATGAAATGACGTGCGAGCTTAATGGCTTCTCACCCTGCCAGGATGGCACCGACTGCTGAGAAGAACCATTCTGCAGAATTGAATCCCAGTATGGCCACTCCATGGAATCGCTCTAAACCAAGCTGCACACATCGACACACATTTAGTCTCCTCTCTTTTAAAACTCCTACCACCCAAGCTGTCATTCTTCTGAAAGGAGCCTTCGTTGTTTGAGTGTTTACCTTCATAAAGCTCTTTGCCGCTCTCCTGCAGAACTGGTAGTACTCTGAGAATGTTAACTTTTCCCATCTGTCGTTCTTCTTGCTGGCGAGTGCGTGCAGGTTTCCGTACTTTTCAACTGAGGCTTTGAACATTTGATGAATTGTGACGGGTTCTTCTTGACATCCCTCGTCTACCCTCAGCTTGACCGAGCCTCTCACGTCAGTGGTCCACAGAGAGTGAGCAGGGGCCAGAAAGGGGCAGGCAAACTTCTCTGTTTCTTTTTCTCCTGCATTTGAACATAACAGACACAGATCTTCCCGTTCAGTACAAGCAAAGTACATCTTCCAGCACGATGCCACCATGAGCTCTCATAACTCACCCACAGAGACGAGTGTTGCGCTGTCTGTCGGCCCTTGTGCCATAGACTCCTGAGCTGAGATCGCCACCCTGAAACGCACAGACGATACAGCCCGGCCCATACGTTGGCACGGGTTGAACTTGCTGTTTTCATCTCATCACAGGCTTGTAAATTTCAGCCGAATTGTTTGCACAATGCGATGTCAGTGTTGGCACGGCTAAACCCCCTTTCCTTTGTTCGATAGAGTTTATTCAATGAGTCAAAAGAGTGTTCACTCCGACTCATTACAAAATACAATACACCAAGCCAACTGCAGTGCATTTCACCATCGGTCCCTATATAGGCCATGTATTCACATAGGCAACTTAACAAATGGTGGACAGGAATGTGGGGCAAAAGTGGTAAACGCTGAAGATTTCGTGAAAAAAACTAATTTAATTTACAATACCTTAGTGAATTTTGCTGGACCTGCAGGCTAACTGGCAAATCTGGCTTGTCACAGAACTTCACATGATACAACAGATTTCTTATGTCTGCCTCATTTAAGAACAGTGAAAAATTAACTTGTAATTTCCTTACCTGTCTCCGAGTGTATCAGTGACCTTCTCTTTTTCAGAAAGTGCCATTCTAATGGTAGCAGAGTTTCCTAATGCGAGTCCCACACACCTCATGAAGTCTTCAGCCTCTGTTAAGTAAATGTGAAAGACCACGGGTCCACTGCACTGGACTGCTCACACAAGCCACGTCCTGAATTTCAATCAGCTCAGTCTTTTCATGTGTAAAACAGTTTTCCTATGTTCTTTACCAAATCACACACTGGCAGGCAACAAAGAAAAAGAACAAAACTTTCTCTGCAGTCAGGGCAGCATGTGAGGCTTCTGCTCTGACACCTATCGGTTACCACAGACATTATACAACTTTATTAAAGGACTAAAAAAATGACCAATTATTTAAGTCAAACTAGGAGAAAGAAAACAGGTTAAATGTGTGCAGGTATTTTGTTGTCATGTAAGGCAACCCATTCTTATTATCCAGTAACCTCTGAAATGAACTGGCCAGCTCCTAAATGATCCAGATTCCACTGAAATGTGATAAGAAATGTGTGTGTGTGTGTGTGTGTGTTCTCCTTGAAGACATATATCTAAAGCAACAGAGATTGAAGATGAATGTGAGTTCAAGCATAGAGTTCAGTGCAAGAGTATCATTCTAAAATGAATTAGTTACATAAATTCAGTCAGAAAGTAAAACTCCGAAGTGAACAATTATAAATGAATTCTAACTCAAGTAACTTGTGGATTTCCTGTTTGGAATAAAGACATTTTTGGGAACTTCTGTAGGAGGACATGGTGTAACATCGTCCTTATTTTTCGTCGAAACTGCCTTTATCTGTGATTTATGACAAGAAGCGCACAGAGGACGTTACAACACGTTTATACGGTCTGCCATTTAGAAGAAGGACAAGCAGGCCATGTTTCCTCTTGTGTAATAACGCTGAATCAATTTATTTTCCCACTGTCGGCTCGAAGGTAACACAACCATTCTGAAAATTGGGACAGGACATTTAAGATGCTGATCCGGCAACTCACTCCTCCTCCCCTTTGCCTTTTATGCTCCGGTCTTTTCTAGACGCGGACGTCGCTACTAGCCAACGAAACATCCGGTTCCTCTTCTCAGAACTCTCCAGAAAGTTCTGACGGACGGTGTGGCTATAAGACTCGTCCGCCTCCCCTTGACAGCCAGTCTCAGTCCCTCGCGCGGTAGAATCGCAAGGAGTGCTAACATCTGACAACTACTTTGTTTTTTGTTTTTTTCCAACAGTTGTAAAGAATATTTAGCTTAACCCATTCGACTCGGAGGTTGTTTCATTCAGACTAAATGTTGCTATACTGACTTGGTAATTTTACGTTAACTACACGTGCTGCCCCATAGAAACCGTCGTGCACCGTATCCTTGGGATATCTAGAAAAGGGCTGAATTTTAGCCTCCAAGTAACGGTATTTTTTCAAGCTTTTTAAGGTAATGCATCTAGACATTCTAACGAAAACGTTACTTCTGTCAAACTATAACGTTAAGGTCTCTTATAGTATCTTTTAAAAATATGCATATATTTAGAGTCATACTTAGATTTTAACGTCAAGAATATGATAGGACAAATTTCGGTTTTGACATATTGTATGACGACTGTGTTTTATTATTTTCCAGGTTCATCGACATGGTTCACGAAACCGGCTTTTACGACCTCCTGGGAGTGAGCCCAAAAGCCTCGCCGGACGAAATAAAAAAAGCTTACAGAAAACTCGCATTAAAATATCACCCCGACAAGAACCCAAATGAGGGAGAGAAGGTGAGTGATCCAGAGAGCGTTTTACGGTGTCATTTACGACCCCGGTGCAAATGTCCTGTCTAATTTTAAACCGTACGCGGCTTTGAGGGAACGTCGGGAACTTTCTGGAAGCATCCATTCCAATGCTCCTCTGTGGAAGCTAGGCTAGGAAAGATTAGCCTGCTGCATGCCTGAAATGCCTGCTGAGTTTTTTTTAAGTATGATATTTTGAGATAAAGCTGGTTTATTTATTAAGTAGAAAAAAAGAAAAAAAAATATATCAACCAGAAGTATTATATTTGTACATTCCTTGCTAAGTTTAATTAGTCACATAGGTCAATGATCGATATGATGTTCATCGTCAGTATGTTAATGTTTTTTTTCTTATCTTGCATTTTCTCTCCAGTAACTTAATTATATACCCTGCTTCTTTTTTTTTTTTTAGTTCAAACACATCTCCCAAGCATATGAGGTGCTGTCAGATCCAAAGAAGAGGGACCTGTATGACCAAGGGGGGGAACAAGCCATTAAAGAGGGAGGCATGGGTGGAGGAGGATCTCCAATGGACATCTTCAACATGTTCTTTGGAGGTGGTGGAAGGATGCAGAGAGAGAGAAGAGGTGAAATATGTTTTCATAGTATGAGATCTTTACATACATTTAGTTTATAGAGATTGCGTCCATCATGACATTCATGTTTTTGTCTGTAGGGAAGAATGTTGTCCATCAGCTCGGTGTAACTCTGGAGGAGATGTACAATGGCTCAACAAGGAAGCTTGGACTTCAGAAGAACATCATTTGTGAGAAGTGCGAAGGTTAGTATTCCCAACTACAGAGAAAAGGGTTCAGTCACATTGTATGTATAGCACAATAGAAAAGAGAAGCTTAGTTTTGACCTGTCTTTATTTCCAGGTTATGGTGGGAAGAAGGGTGCTTTGGAAAAATGTGCAACCTGCAAAGGAAGAGGTATGCAAATTAAAGTGCAACAGATTGGACCAGGCATGATTCAGCAGATCCAAAGCATGTGTTCAGACTGCCAGGGGCAGGGCGAGAAGTTTAACTCAAAGGACCGCTGCAAGAACTGCAATGGCCACAAAGTTGAACGCAAGAAGAAAATTCTTGAAGTTCACATTGATAAAGGTAAACCACTCATGATCACCATTGTCCATTTGATACCATTTAGGGAGGGAAACTTGAGCTGTACTGTATTTCTAAACCATCCAAACTGCAAATATTGTTGTTTATCCAGGTATGAAAGATGGTCAGAAAATCACATTTCAAGGGGAGGGAGACCAAGAACCTGGACTAGAGCCTGGTGATGTCATCATTGTTCTGGATCAGAAGGACCACCCAGTTTTTCAGAGACAGGAAGATAATTTAATAATGAAGATGGACATCAAACTTGTGGAGGCCTTATGTGGTTTTAAGAAGACCGTCCAAACATTAGACAACAGGATGCTCATCGTCACCTCACAGCCAGGTACAGTGATCCTCAGCGGTCAGAGAGCTTAACCGGTGTTTTACGCTGGGAGTATCTGTCAGGCAACTAAACTAACTTGAACAATTTTAACAACAGGCGAGGTCATTAAGCACAATGACATCAAGTGTGTGCAGAATGAGGGTATGCCTATCCACAGGGATCCTTATGAAAGGGGACAGCTGATCATTCAGTTCCAGGTAAGACATCAACTGCATGTTCTTTTAAAAGCAGCTCTCAGAAGATCCATGGGCAAGCAAATGGTTAATAAGAACGTATACTTCAGGTGGAGTTCCCAGGAAAACACTGGCTCCCAGAGCATCTCATGTTCCAGCTGGAAAGACTCCTCCCCCCCAGAGATGATGTGATGATGACTGATGACATGGAGGAGGTGGACCTCTGTGAGGTAGACCTGCAGTCACAACAGAAAAGCTACGGCAGAGAAGCCTATGAGGAGGATGAAGAGGGACCCAGAGGCGGAGGAGTGCAATGTCAGACACAATGATTGTAGTCTGCAGTCATATTTCTGTGTAAAGCATGTGGAGTTTTGTTCATGTTTGTATAGTTTAGTTGAAGAGGAAGTTCAACTCATGCCTGTGAAGTCCTTGTGATATAAATGCCCCTGAACGGTGGCATTCAGCTTACAACAGTTGCCAATTCCACTAATTTGTTTCCTACTTTTGCGGCACAAAAAACATCCATAATGAGATGTATGTTTTCAAAACTATATTTCTGTGTTCCTGCCTTTGATTTTCTTAAGAACAATTAATTTCTTTGTAAGTCTGTTTCAAATGAATGGCACAAAAGTTCTTCTCCACTCTGAAGCTGAAAGGACGACTATATGCTTTCTATGAAGGTAACGTAATGTCAAACAATTTGTCCTTTTGTAAAATAAAGTCTCTTAAGAGTTAATTGTTTAAGATGTCATCTTTTATTTATTACATGTATATAGTTTTGAAGCCTGAATGTTTGCACAGAGCAGGATCCAAACAAATGACTTCAAATAAGCCATCTCAAGCGAGACAGAGCACAAAGGTGGTTAAGCTAGAGCTCCTTTCTCACAATAACAACTTATTGTGGCCTGGTTGGTTTATTCTTATATTTATTCATGTCCGCACATGCCATGCTATTTCCAAATAGTAAGAGTCGAGTAAGACGAGTTAGAAATACACAAAAACAAGGGAGTGAAAATAAAATTATTCACAAACAGATTATCATTCACACTAAATATCACAACAAAAAGACACTAGCAGCATATCAGCCATGTGTTCACTGATGTCTGATGGCTGGAAATCAATAATAATGTGCAAATCCGGTATAGGTATGAGACAAAACATTCCTAAAATTATGACATTTAACTCGGTGCGGGCTGAGAACCAGTCCGTGGTCGTATTTGTCATGAATATGATTAAAAATTGTTAGTTCACCAGCCCCCTCGCCAACCTGCCAGGAGCCAAACAGAATGGATAATAATCAAATAAACGTGTTAAATTTCTCTATAGTACAACTTCTAACAGCTTTCTGGAGTCATCCATAGTGGATCATTTTAATTTTTGTGTTCCTTAACTGTGTCCATGCATAGTTACATGCTTGAAAAAGTGTAATATCCCAATAACCTGTAGTTTTGTTTGGTAGTCTAGCTCATTTTGAAGCCGCGCACTACATAACCCATGATGCAAAGCGCATTATTACGTCACCCATCTCCGGCACCGGTCTGCTCTGCTGCCAGTCGAAAATCGACAGCTGAGATTTTCAAGACCGGTGATCCCTGCCGGCTCACAACGCGCCGTTAGATATCGACAGATTGAAGAAGAAAATTAGCTCCAATGGCAAAAACGTACGATTATCTCTTTAAATTGCTGCTTATTGGAGACAGTGGTGTCGGTAAGACATGTCTACTGTTCAGATTCAGCGAGGACTCCTTCAATACCACCTTCATATCCACAATAGGTGAGTACCCTCTGGACGCCCCTTACAAAGCATACACGCCTATTTAAAGATGGTTTTACTGAGCTTAGATTACAATCTAGTAGCAGTAAGTCTAGTTCCCCTCTGATTTTATGTCATGCAGACTCGTTATTTCTGGCAGAGCTTAGAGGAAGACAATGGGACTGAGAGACAAATGATAAGTCTTTCCTGTAGGCTGAATGGGATAAATTGTAGCTTAGATTTGATATGTTGAAAAATGAAAAATAGATCCCAGTCAAACCTTTGACCTTTTATAGATGTAGCATACCATATTACACTGTACAGATCAGTGCTGGTTTGATATTGTTGTAATCCCAAGAATCTTTCTAAATTTCTACAGTGTTCTTTAGCCATGGTCTGAAATAATGTTCCTCTATAATTTCATGCCAGATTTTTAGTTTTCAAGACGTAGTCACATGTCTGGGGAAGACTCGGTGTGCTGTGTGTCATCTCTGATGATGTCATGTCAGTAAGCATGAGCTTATGCCTCTCTGCCTGGACCTGTTTGTTTAAATGCAGGGATAGACTTCAAGATCAGAACAATAGAGCTGGATGGGAAGAGAGTCAAACTCCAGATTTGGTAAGAGTGGGTTACCCCCTGTGAATGAAAGTGAAAGTGCAACGAACCGGCTGGTTGAAAGAAAATCCCCTTTCTGATTTCTGTCTTTCTGATGAATGCACTCAGGGACACGGCAGGGCAGGAGAGGTTTCGCACCATCACCACAGCTTACTACAGGGGGGCCATGGTAAGTCCCCTCATCTCCAGCCCGTCGCTGGAAATCTACCTTTCTCTTTTGGATCGGGGCTCATGAATTCAGTGTTTTATTGTTTATGCTTTTTTCACGTTTCAGGGCATTATGTTGGTCTATGACATCTGCAACGAGAAATCCTTCGACAACATAAAAAACTGGATAAGAAATATTGAAGAGGTGAGGTCAGAAGGTATATAGATGGGAAAATGTTTTCTCTGTCTTTTGTGTAGAATGACTAAAAACAAGCTTGTTTCGTTTGACGCTTTGTTACCTTTAACGACACTGATCAGAATGTACAATTCTCTCAGCATGCCTCGTCGGATGTGGAGAAGATGATCCTGGGTAACAAATGTGACATGTCTGACAGGAGACAGGTGTCTAAAGACAGAGGTGAAAAAGTAAGTGACACCAGCCAATCTTTAGGAAAAACCTGTCTTTGCCAAATTCTGTGCTGTCATAAGCCAGTAACATTGTGTTTTATTCCCTTTAGCTGGCTATTGATTATGGGGTTAAGTTCTTGGAGACAAGTGCCAAGTCCGGCTTAAACGTAGAAGAAGTAAGGCTGAGTGTTTTTGCCCTAAAAGTAACACATCAAACGGCAGAGACACACAAGACTTGTAGGTTAACCCTCTGCTTTTCTTTTTCTGTCTCTGAAGGCTTTTTATACCATGGGGAGGGACATATTACATAACCTTAGCTCAAAGACAGTAAGTAGTGAAATTTATTTCTGAAAAACAGATAATACGTTTTGTGTGACTCGCACTGACTTTGTTGTGTTGTGTCTATCACCGCGTCCCCCTCGGCAGACTGACAACAGTGGTGGAGGATCAGGGAAACCGGTCAAGATCACCGATAAGAAGTCCAAGAGAATTAAATTATTCAAGTGTTCGCTCCTTTAGGCCGGCGGGGCCCCGGTGAGCGCGTTACCCAGCGAGACCGTGTCGTTTTGGAGGTTCTCTGGCCTCTCGGGCTTCCACGCCACAGCAGCACTGCTAATGATCAGAGAGCCTCTCTGCCATCTGGTGGGTGAGACTCTGCCCTGACAGAGGAGGATCAATGAGGAATGAGGCCTGGCAATTTCTACCTGCTCACGCAAAAGACTCCTAAACCCAATCATCAGCAGTGGTTTGTAGCTTGACCCGCAGTGCCTGCTCACAGCGGGGAACGATTCTGCTGGCATTTATTACTCATCTGTCGGATATCATAAACATATATGTATCAGTTTTCACGTTATTGTCTTATGAATAGGAAAAAAGGAAAACAAAGATTCTTTAATATATCGAAGCATCGTTTTCTAAACAGTACCTCCCCGTCATGATTCCTACAAAGATGCTGCGAGGTAAACTTATTCGAAAGTTTCAGCACTGATTGTACTTCTCTGTGTGAATACATGTGTTACATTTATGGCCTTCAGTTACCCTGCCATCACTTCTGTACCGATGGACTCTGGAGGAAAAGACAAAAAAATATGTGTAAATGCAACATTTTGTATATGATTATTTATTTATTCACTTTTTAATGGAACCTGTACAGGCTTCTGTATAAAGGAGACTGTGGAGGAAGGGTTTATTTCTTGAAAGTTGTACTTAATGCTGTCAAAGTAAACGTCGGCATTTGGATGAGAGCTGTTTGGAGACGGCTGACCGGATGTCACTAAGCACACAGGATCAGAGAAAAAAAAAGCGTTTACAGAAAGTATTTGAAAATGCCAACTATAAATGGAATGCTAATGTTTTTGCCGTTCATATTGTGTATGCATGTGTTTCATATTTTCTCTGAAGTAGCAGACATCCAATAGGTTCCCGCTCATATCTCCGACTTGACAATACAGCAACTTGGGAAAACGATAATGTGATTGTCTGTGTAAGCTTTTTGTATGTTACAACAACAGAAAGTAGCAAAAGTAAAGAAAGTTGAACTTAACGAACCTGTGTTAATATTTGACTACAATGTTTTAACGCCTAACTTTACGGCATAAATGAGAATGCTGGAGTTTTCAATGAGGACTGAACTGACGTAGAGAAGAGGAGCCCTGCTGTTACTGATGTAGATCTTTTTTCTGCTACTCTGCATCATCGCCTGTCTTCCCTGCCTCCGTCTTCTCCCTCTCGTCCTCCTGCCCAACAGCCGAGGCCCTGTCGGGGTCTCGTTCGCAGCTGGAGGCCCTCGGCTCTTTGGGGGCCGCCGTAGGCTTGGCTTTCATGTCGCTGGCGCTGCAGCTCTTTGACCTGGTGGGCCGCGCGGACCTTTGGTCGTCGACGGTCAGATACTCGGTGGTGTCCGAGAGGATTCTTTTGGCCTTCGTGCGTTCTTGCTCTCCCTCTCGTTCCGGTGGAGCTCCCTCGGTCTCGGAGGGAGCGGCCCCGGTCTGGCCCGGGTCTCGGGGCTCTGCGGGTTCAGCGGCGGGCGCCTCGTCTCCCGCCTCGGCCGGGTTGTAGATGATGCCGCTCATGGCCCTCCTCCTTGTGAGAGGGGACGCTTGGCTTTCCACGGGAAGATACCGCAGAGACTTGGCCCTCCTCGGGGAGGCGGAGGTTCCCACGGCGAGCGTGGCTTTGGCCGTCGGCCCGGCGGGGGGCTCTGGCTCTGGCTCATCGGGGGGGTTGACCGTCAGGGTGCTCATGGCTCTTCTCTTCGTCAACGGGGACGTGGCCTGGTCCTCGACCGGGTAGTGTTTGAGAGATTTGGTCCGTTTGGGAGGGGATAAAGGTTTGAGTCGGTTCTTGTCGATCGGCTTGTCCAGCAGCGTCGCGCTGCCCGGCTTGGGGTCGGTTATGATCTCCTGACTGGACGCAACCGAGGCGGGCTTCTGCTCACACGGGGATATGAGTATGTCCACGCAGGAGCCGGGCCGGGACCTCTGCAGGGCCCCGACCTCCAGCGTCTGCCCGCCTTCCTTGGCGTTGAGGGCGCAGGTGCTGGAGGCCTGGCGCGCACCCCGCTGACCCTCAGGGCCGCCTTTCTCCTCCGTCTCGTTCTGCCGGGACGCGAACTCCTCCATGTCCATGTGGAAGCGGTAGAGGCTGTAACCGTCGGCGCTGTTGATGCTGCCCTGCCGGAGCAGGGAGGAGGGGTCGCACACGGAGGAGTTTCGCGAGTAGGTCCGGGTCAGCTCCAGTCTGTCCACTCCGGCCAGCTTCTCCAGGGCCACCGCCATCCGCCCGTGAATCTCCTCCAGTTGGGCCAGACGCAGGTCCACCGTCTGCAGCGAGGCCTTCATGGTGTTTTCCCTCTCGTTGACCTCCTCCAGACGCATCGACATGTTCTCAACTCTGCCAAGAGCATCACAAGTCCAGTCAATGACAACTCCACAAACGTTTTGCAGCCCAGAATAGGACACCGGCAGAAATGTACCTCTCCGAAGTAACCTTGATTCGTTCATCACTTGAAGACTGCTGCTCGTCCTCTTTATTGCGGAAATATTCCTCCACACATTGCTCCTCAAATTCATACAGATTCTTTAGCTCCTCTGGATTCAGCCTGAGCTCTGAAGGAAGCAAAAACATGTCAGGTATGTCAAGATCAGAATGGTTGGCTAGAAAATAACACGGCTGCCACCCAGGGCAAGTTTTTAAAGGGCTAAAAACACAAGAATGCATTAAAGCAATACAACAGGACAGTGAACGTTTCTTTGAACTTCTGCCATATTTTGGGAGAGTTTGACGGAGGAGACTGACTGAGGCCCCGGTCCTTCTCATCCAGCTCGCCCTCCTGCCTCTTCCTCGCACAGCGGCGGAACAGCCTGCTGAACAGGATGTAGAGGTGGCTCAGGATAATGAGAGGCGGAGGCAGAATGGGGCGGTCATGGAAAGTCATGATCAGCTGATATCTTTGAAACTTCCACACCTGGTTGGAAATGGATTTGACTTCGAAGAAAGTGTTGCTGTGGGAGAGGAGAGCCAAACCAGTGAGCACAAACTGTCTCTCAAATGTAAAAAAAAAAAAATAGGCAGATGTTGGAATGTGTCATTACTTGAAGACTGCAATGAGCAAGTTGACCAGCAGAATGTTGGCAACCAGCAGGTAGCAGGCCATGATGGCCGGTGTGAGCCAGGCACCGGGGATACAGGGGGGAAGTTTCTTCCCATCCTCATCATACAAATGTTCTCCACACGGAGCTGTACGGGGAAGAAGGTGAAACTATAAATTTAATCTTTTGAAAATGAAGCAAACTGATATGAATGTCTTTGACTTTAAGACTACTTACGGTTGATTTCCATTGCATAGACTTGTTCACAATCCAGATAACCGCAGTCCCACAGAGACAAGGAGAAACGGTTAGCATCAAATGTTTTTTCCCCCCTTTTTGTCATATTTCTGTCAAAGTGAAGCTGTTGTCCATGAAAAATGGACTGGTGATCTTCTTTCTAATTAAACTGCTGCAGTATCCATGAGTTACAAAGAGAGCTGAAAATTTGACATTTATGGTCTCAGAGCAGTTTCTCCTCAGTGAAATGTGGTGCTGTGGACTGGGTCTAATCAAAAAGGGTTTTTTTGTACAACATTCAGCAATTAAATGAGCTTACTCTGGTTTTTGGAGAATTGCCCTTGTCCTAACAACAAAATGCTGATTTCTGTTTTTGAATCGCAATATGGACCTACTATTTGCTTTTGCTATTTCATATTTTTCAAATGATTGATTTGTTGCTTTCACTTTGACAGAAGAAACACTTCCATTAAAAGAAAACTTAAAGGCAGATGATCATAATTTAGGAGAAACATTATGCCTTTCCTGCCCCAATTCAGTGCAATATATATCTCAATGTATTGCTTTAATAATGATCAAAAAGATTGGAGGGAGCTGGTTGAGCAGACACAGTGTCAAATGTGGTACCCAAACAGAACAGAATTGAAGACATGGCGGGTCATAAGACAAAGGATCATCTGCCCTGAATCAGGAAACAAAATCTTACTATGAATTCTAGTCTTACGGTCTATCGAGTCTGCAAAAACCTCTCCGTAGATCATCCAGTAGGGCATGTAGAAAATGTTTCTGGCTAGGCGCCATGTCGGCTCCTCATCTGGGTGAAGGATGGCTTGCCGAGCCACTCCAAAACTCATCAGCACCACCAGCATGATCACCACAAAGTACATCATATCGATCATCTGAAACAAACAAGCACGGCACGTGAGCTAAGTAGACATTTTAAACGCCTGTGGGAACTTTCTTTGCGATTATGCTATTACCATTTTCCCTATCATCATCACATAGGGTCCCAGGTATTTGTTGACTCCAAAGATGTCCAGCACTCGAATGTACCAGAAGATGATGTCGATGCAGTAGATGACTCTGCCGTAGCCCATGTAGGGCTCAGGCTGAAGACGCAGCATCAGCCCCAGGAGGAAGGTGGCAATAGCAAACATGTCTGTGATGTTCCAGTACTCCTCCATCCACACGCTAATCTTCTGCTTCAGTTTCCCCGGCTCCGACATCAGAATCTACAAAACCAGGAGTTCACAGCAAGTTAAAAGTGTTAATGTATAGTATTTTGATAAAGTAAAAAACATAATTTATTTTTTTACCTGTCTGACTTTTTCAGTCCCAAGCGTGAGGATGTATGAAATAACAGTCCACTCTTGCAAGGATGGCCATCTCTCCATTTTCACCAGGATGATGTAATTATACAGCATCAGATAACTCAGATAGGAAATCTGTCCCAAAAAAAAAAAGTGACACAATAGTTTTAGTTGCAGTTAGGTTGCGAGCATTTGTTGGATGTTTTATGCCCAGCACTAGAGGGTGACGTACAGTGTTGAACCAGAACTTGGTGAAGGGCGCGTCGTAAAACTCAAAAAACCTTTTGCCGATGGGGATTTTGTGGACCTTGGCGCTGCCCTCCTCCTCGTCGCCTTTCCTGGAGGTTGCGTCATTGTTTGCATCCTGCAACAAAACAGCTAAGTCTGAGCTTTTCCCCTTTCATTCTGACAACAGAAAACAAGTGGAAATGAATCCAAAAAACGTGAAGTCAGCATGAACCGGGACCTTGCTGGACTTTGTGTCGTCATCCTTGTCTTTTCCTTCTCCTTTGTCCCCAGGTGCTTGATAGGAAGCATCATCTCCGATACGAAAGTCCAGGAGCATAATCAGAGGAGGAAAGATGATTCCCAGAATAACCTAAATCAGACATAGAAGATTTAATAATCAGCTATTTAATGACCTTTATTGCTGTATACCATTTTCATGTTTGCTTAATGGAAACCTTGAGGCCAGGGTTTTTCCCAATCCTTAAGCAACCCATCCACATGTCGGTGAGCAACATCTGGCTGCAGGTGTGAGCGATGAAGTCCCGCTGCTTTGCAGCCACGGCCAGCTTCAGACAGGTTGAGTTGCTCCAGTTAACCAGCTCATACGTCAGGAGTTTCATGGCCACCTGCTCGTCGTGTTTGTAGGACTGGTCCAGAAGCTCATAGGCCAACTGGCCAAAATCTCTAAGAAAGACACAACAACAATAACACATCAACCAAGTTTATGCACGTAAAGCAAAAGTTGAAGTAAAATTGGGGTCTGTAACACGGTTGGTGCCGTATTTCACAGAAAAAGAGACGAATAAACTAATATTGGACAAATGTGATTTGTGTGGCTGTGCTACTGACTTTGAGTTGTTCTCCAGATCCTGGGAGATGTCGTCCACAAGCTCACTCTCTGAGCACTCATGGGCCAAGGCCTTGTACAGTTTACAAGCCACCAGAGCCTTTGCCATGGCCTCCTCCCCACGCTGCCACAGAAACAGCGCCATCTTCTGGCGCTTCAGCAGCACTGCCCACACCATCAGCTCATGGAACGGGTATTTGAATCGACACACCTCCGGGTCATCCACGTCAATTTCAACCTCCTCCTCTTTCTTCTTTTTGCCCTTTTTCTTGCCCTTAGTTCTTGGCTCATCATCCTGAAAAATAAGGGGAAAAATTATGATGAAATAGTTAGCTTTTTTGGGCTTAACTCTTGCAATTTATTAAAGTATTTCTTGGGAAAAGTAGTAAATCCCACCTCCATTCCCAAGAGTTTCAAAGCTTTTGGCTGCAGTAGGAGAGATGAAAATTGTATTCAGTATAGAAATATTGCCTGATACAATGATTATTATATATTTTTTGTCCATGCATACCCTTTTTAAACCATACAGGTTGTTGTACAGGTTGCGGAAAGCCTTTCTTGTGTAATTGCTTCTGTATGCTCCACCCATGAGGTATTCCAGCACCAGACCAATATCGATCAAAGTGATCTGATAATCTGGAGGAAGGTTTCCCTGGAGAATCACCAGAGTTATTAATATGAGTGTTGATTTTCTCAATGCAACGTATAAAAGTAAATTGTGGGTGTTTTAAAACTGTAGAAAAGACGCACCTTTTTCACATCCCGAACCACAACATGCAGTGTATTTGCAGGGCCAAGTTTCTGAAAAGAGACGGTTTGTTATGTAGTTCGACATTTTCTCACACTTATTTTCATACTTTGCATTTCAACACGAAGCTGTTCATCAGAAATTGTGTTTTCTTTTTGCTGTTTCTGGAACCTACTGTGTTGTATAACTCCTCCAGCCTTGGAATGGTGAGAAAGTGGTGAATGTTGACCCCATTCTCAAGCAGCAGTTTGACAAAGTCGACTCTGTCCAGCACTAGTGCATCCATCATGGCCTGCTCCAGAGAGTTAACCTGAGAGACGGAAACAGATAAAACACTTACAGTGTCTACCTTTTCTCTCTTTTTTTCCCTGGATACTTATTTCTAAGAAGGTGTTGTTTTCATGAACTCTCACCCAGCGAATCAGCTCCAGTTTCCTGGGATCCGTTTCCTCTGGAGGTTCAGGTTTTGCCTTCCCCTTTCCCTTTCCCTTTTTGCCGCGGGCCTTGTTGCGAGGTGCGCTGGCAGGGCTCTTCTGTTTTTCCTGAGTTTGAACTGCACCGGTTGCACTGTTGGCCACGGCTCCGGCAGGCTGAGCAGTTTGGAATAAAAGCATAAAAAGCTGTACTCTGGAGGAACATCAAAATGTCTTTTTTTACTGTCAGTATCAGTTATTTGAAAATGGGGCTCTGCCAGAGAAAGACTTCTCTATGACTATGAAGGGAGCAAGCTAGTTTTTAATTACGATATGCAATGACTGAGAATCAACACAAATGTGTATGTAAGGAATGCTTCTTAAAAACCTGTTGTTCCAACAGAGGGATTTGAAAACAGCTCTCTAGTGTCAAAAACTGCAAAATATGCCATTCTGCACAGACACAGTCACGCATACCAAGAGAATTTAATCTTGAGAATAGCACTTTTTTTTTGTTGAAAGGGAGTTTTTATCAACCTAATTTTTTACACAGTTTCTTCAATTTCCCAAACCCAATTCTCTCGTTAAATACTAAACAACATGCAGTTTAGCAAGTGCAGAGTATTTGTGTGGGCTAACAATGTTGGGAGGACCACTCACAGGTAAATTGTGACCATAAACAAAGATATGATTTCGGGCAATATCCACTCTGTTCCAGGCCAGAGCCAAACTGAGCTGGTCTGGTGCTGAAGCGTTTGTTCCTTAGGAAAGAGAGATGGAGAGAGTTGTGGGTAACTGGTACTGTCCTACAGTAAAATGATCAAATTCAAACATAAGTCACTGATGGAAATCCGTAAAAATACGTGACATTAAATGCTTTTTAGGTTTGTAAAATTAGGTAATAGCTCTGTTATAATGCATGATGGGTCACATAATATGTATGTTATGTATCTAAGGTTGTATACACAACTTTAAGATAACAATTTTTTACAAGAGTTGTTAAAACAGGTTTCTAAAATCGTAACTTTGCCTTTTTTTTTATAAATATGAATGCTCTCAGTCAGCACTCTTGTGTTTGCCATTGTTGGAAAGAAAATGGAGGAAGTCATCCCCTTTTCAAAAACAAAAGCCTTCATTCATCTCCTAATTCAGATCATGTGAACACTGACGAGTGGGTACTTTTTCCCTTAATTTTCGATCAGCTGATTTAATACAATCATGATACCCTCACTGACCAATACATGCCTGTGTTTGTTCTGTGTTGCAATATTTCTGGGGTTGGGGTTATTTCGGTTGAAATATTCTGTTCAAACAGGCCTGATTTGTTCATTTTCTACATAGAATCTCAGTACTGTACTTAAAACTTGTTGGTGCCAACAATTTCCCTCAAGGAAATCCTTATTGTAGAATTTTATGGCTGCCATTTGAAAATACCTTTCAACAAGGCCGTAAGGATGGCCATTTCAATATCCTGTTGCCCCTCAGAGCCCATTCGAAACACAGTGATCTACATGAGAGAAAAGAAAAAAATGTGTAGAGAGGGGATTGCAGAAACGAGTTGCATAGTCATACAGCATACATGTTCAGATGGTTACCAACAAAATGGGTAAATGAATGAAGATATGTTTGGATGAATTGATAATTGACATTTTTCTGGTAAATCTCTGAGTTGAGCCCTATGAGTGACCCTGGGAACACTAACGACCATTTGCTCATTGGACAGAGTGATAACACTTGCCTTATTATAGACTAAACTATGTCAAATGGAATTACACTGACAGGTCTGTCACATGTGCAGGCGAGGTGGATGAGATTAGATTGGAATGAATGTGTGGCACAGCAGCAGAGATTTCGGGGCTGACCTCAGGATGCGTTAATAATAGGCATTCCGCATCAGTTTGAGCACAAAAAAAACTTTTTCTCCTTTGCGTAGTTGTATGGTTTGATACGGTTTGTTTTTTTAATAAAAACAGGGACTTCTTAAAAACGTATCCTGGGATTAAACTATCATCAAACCCTTAAATGTGTGTTTTTATTGGTCTTTGCCAGCTGTTCACCGTGGATATACTCAGGATGAAAGGATTATGTGGGGACTAGATGGTGATACTGATTCACCTATAGGTTAGTTTTGGCGCTTTGGTATAAAAGCCGGCAACAGTCAGGCAGCTTTGTTGTGCGAGAGTTCATACATCTTAGTTTAGATTGCCCAGACTTGGAATAAGTCATAGCTAAAAGCTATCAAAAAAGCTCAAAGTGGTATGATCTTTGAAAAAGCTGTTTAAGTTGCTTATCTGGGTCCATTGGAGCATTATGTGGTTAAAAACATCAGGGATGGATAGAGCAAAGTCGTGGGTGAAATGACAGCACTCTGCTGACTGAAAGCCATGGTGCTGGAGATAGGGATGTGTCAGAGGATTAGAGAGATAGAGCCTTTCCTCCATCTGTGTACTGCATACTCTCTTTAAACATGGGAAGTAAGAGGCTCAAGTGTGCCGTAATATGCACCGATCTTTCCCGTCTGAATATATGGCGTTGAGGGATTATATAAAATGGGCACTAAAAAAAGTATGTATCATATTACTTATGGAGGAATGTGGTAGAGAAGAGCAAAGGCTGCTGCTGTTTAAAGTCCTCGGCAAACACTTTAGAGAAACACTCTCGGCCATGTGGGATTAATCTGCTCCCTGTGCAGACTCTCAGCGGGGTCAGCGCTGACCTCTACAGCTGACATGTCTTTTTACCACTGTGCACTCACATGCATACAGAAGCACGGTGGTGGGCTCAAAGACATGACCACAAAGGGAGAAATAACAAGCAGGCTGGGGTGAATATGTTTATTCGGCATGCTAATGGAGTTACACACTGATGAATGAAACAGACGAATGACGATGGAGACCAGATATTTTTGAGTTAAAAATATTTATTGGTCACAGATGTAATATCCACAAATGGAAGATGATTTGAATCTTACAGAGCATGAGGAGTTTGACACCTTCACCGTCACTCACCAGTTCCCTTTTCTTCATGCACTCCATCACCATGAGCAGGATCTGCTGCGATTGGCTTTTGGTGTAATTGAAGGTCTTCTGAATGGTCACTAAAAGCTGGTCTCTGACGTCATCATTAACCAGCCTGGAGTAAAAATGACACTTAGTCTTTTTTTTTTTTCGATAGAAGAACATGCCAACGGAAAAGTAATTCGGGACCTCACCCTCCATCCTCCGAGAACTTGTGGGCAAATGAAATGATGTCTGAGGCCCGGCCGCTGCCGTCACACACCACCACCGGGATGGGGGGCTCGTCCCTCAGGCTCTCCAGCGCTATGGAGATGACGTTGGGACCTCCCTCCACTATCAGACACACCAGAGGAACCCCCTGTCCCAAACCTGAAACGCACAGGAGGACAGTCAATCCCTCCATCCAAAGAGTTTATCCCCAGAAGTGAAGGGCTGAAATGACACGATGGGTCAGAGATGGACGTGGCATGTGAAGGGACCAACCAGAGGGAAGAGGGACTGAAGTCAGTGGTGACAGCTGAGCATCCCTTTGCTGTCCCTGCCTTATCCGAGCTCCAGGCATAGGATGACAAAGGGAAGCCCACAGGTCACAGAGGAGCTCTCCATCCATTTGTCCAACCAATACTCCGACTGACACTCACACAACACGGGATGGAGGATGCTGCGTGGTGTGTGCGGTGCGGAGCCCCGTGTGACTTACGAGTGTTGATCTTCTGCAGGGAGATGTGCTTCTCCAGCAGCCGGCGCAGTTTGACCTCAGAGCCGTACTTTCCACAGGTTCCGTTGTCGGTGAGGATGAAGTGGGAGTGGCTGTTGTTGAGTACTGCCAGCTTGCTCAGTGGGTTTGCCATTGTCTGATAGGGTCTAGTCACCTTGAATAGAAGCAGAAAGTGTGTAAGTTTTAAAAAGAACATATCAATCCGATTTTAAGAACACGTAAAAGAAGAAGGGCAACTCTTACATCTTTTCCGATCAGGTCCTCTTTGTTCTCCAAGATCCCCCATGGAGCAATTCCTATTGCGCACACCTTTCCCCGAGACTTGGAGGAATGGTCCTTCAAAGCATCTCCAACGTGACGGATCACCCCTAAATTTTGATTAGCAAAATAGAGCCACATAAGGGGTAACTCTTTAATTTTCTTAACAGGGCTGCATAATGAAGGATATTTCATGCTAAATCCACACAGCTTGCTATTCGTGCTGATTTTTCTAGAAAAAGCTTTAATTATGAAGCTTAAGCCTGTGACAATGGGTCAAACCTCCCCCCAGGAAATTGTGGGGCAGGTATTATGTAATTACAATTTAGAGCAAAGGCAATCTTCTAATGTCACAATCTCACATTTGTTAAGTGAACATTAAAAGCATCATCCTAAGCTGTGGCCGGCCTACCTGTGTTGACTCCACCTGTGAAGATCCACGCTCCTGTGGTAACGGCCGCTTTGATCAGGCCTTTGCCGAACACTTGCTTGAGTTTGGGCTGGAGGTCAAAGTTCTGAAGGCCTCCGTGGACAGAGATGAGCAAGGTGGGCAGCTCCAGCTGCCAGTCCTTGACCATCACATGCAGGAGGTTGTCAGGTTTGGTGTCATATGAAACACGAATATACTGTGAAAAAAGAAATATAGCTTGTCAAAACTTTATAATTCAGTCAAACAATTACACATGCATTCGGCGGTATACATTTGGGAAATGTTTATGTCCACTTTCTTTAATGCTTTTTCATTTTCAGTGGCGGAGCCTCACCATGGCTTTGTTGATGAACCCTCCTCCCTGGAACTCGATGATCCCAAAGGAGTCGGTCGGGTACGTCCTGGTGTGCTTTATCACACTCCATTTGTCATTTGGGGTGTCAATCTGCACCAGCGGGGTCGCCTCTTCTAATGAGTTGGCACCGGGAGGGATGGCCACATGCTGCGTTACCAACTGACCACAGGCACATCTACGGTAGCCAGATCACAGAGGTCATAAACTACAACTCACAGTGAAAGGGAAGCATTCCTCTGCCTCCTTTGTGAGTGTGCCTGTTACTGGGAAAAGTGTGCCTCTGCAGCTGAAAGGCTGTATGTCAGCAACACAGATTACAGTGTAGTTATGTCTGATAAGACAAAAAATCTGCGCTTCAATTCTGCTAAAAGCTTTGATGTTTAATAAATTAATCAAATTATCCAGAGAAATGATTTTAAGAGATGAGCCAGAACAAAATATAAAGTTAAATTCCTCATAGTTCAACACAGTTGATAAATTACTTTGATAAATGTCACTGTCATGAGATTTGAATTACATTAACAAGAGCCCTCTTCTCAAGAAAGCAACCTTTATTCCAGCGTGACTACAATTCAGTACATCTGTGTAATCTAATTTGACTTCATGTTATTAGTGTATGCGTGTCACAGGACTTGGCTAAGCAAAACTAATTTTTAATGACAGGATGTTTCAAACATATTAAAACACAATTTCTATGTTTTGAGCTTTGCCCTACACTTAAGTTTTCACCCATAACAAATTCCTCTATTTGAAATAATTTTCCAAATGTGATTGTTTTATGTTGATTTCGAAAAAAAATATTACCTGGTTGGATCCTTGCTGGGAAATATGTGAACACATTCTCTTTTAAGAAATGTCCTCTCAATCCAAGCCCGTTGTGCCTGTAAAAACAAAAAGTGGCAAAAACGTTAGATCATCATGTGTAACAGAAGAAGTCAGTCTAAGGATTATCCCCACAAAATAATGCAAAACATGCTAAATGCAGTTTGCACAATAGCTAGTGGAAGAAACTAAATTCCCCCTGGGGTCATATTCTGGGATTCCAGGGTTTGTTCTGCTGCAGTTGATGCTGACAAATGTGGACTCTTATTGGAGCATTGCACAAAAAGTACTGTGTCTGCACACTTTGTCAAGTCCTGTTTGGATTGCTGTTTGATCTTCTTCCAGTGCCGAAAAAAACACACAAAGGGTACAAAGGAAACCTTCTCTGAGGGCCTTTGTTAACGGTGGCAGCCCAATTAAAACCGAACCATCGGAAACACTTTCCAAGACATTGGTCGGAAATTAGTTGAAAATTGAACCGAAATATTTAATAGCGTTCTTGTCTTTGAACATCGCTACTTGAGCATCTACTTGGTTGTCTACCATCTAACTATTACCCTAAAGTCATATGAGAGTCATAGATTAAAGACCATCCACAACTACTGGAGTCCTGTGACTGTCACAAGAGCTGTGAACACACTACAGCTACTGTTGAGTCCATGTTTGCCTCTTCTGCAAGAGCAGCTGTGCTGCAAATCCACTGATACCTCAAACTCACAACCAGAGTAAATCTCTGAACCGATATCTCTGAGAGAAGTTTGTACGATCCATAAATCTATTAAGAAAAAGTATTAATAATGACTCACTAACAGTGATAAAAATGGAAGGCAGTGTAAATATGTGGAGAAACTACTTTGTTTCCATATAGTTTTCTTACCAGCAACAATTAGTAGTTATAGCTATCCTTGAATTTTGTACTCAGCTTTAGTGGTTTTAAAGAAAAAGGTAAACATTTATTTATGAATATCAACTTTGCATGCACTGTTTTGATATATTAAAAAAGCACATTTTGAGTGCACACTTATCAAACAAATGTTAAAGTTATGTTGAACAGAAAATATCCTAAACTGTGGCTGCAGAGTTTTTAAAGAGGAGACATGCCACGTTTTTGTCGTTATTCAACCCTGGCAGCTGTGTTTTTTTAATAGATATTTCCAAAACATTGTACTTTGCAGACAATTTCTTTTTGTTGTTTGTTAAACCTTCTCTTGGCCTTTTTCTGGTCTGTTGTCATCATGCATCATTAAGCACCCAGAGCTCCCGCTGCGCTGCCTGCTCACATTTACCTCATCTGAATTCACTTTCCAGGCTCTTCAACCCTAATAGCATCTGCTTCAGTTTGGAAATACTGAAGCACGACCTGACTGATTCTGTAAGAAAAACGATTCAAAATGTGGTCCAAAATAAGAGTTGCTGTTGAGAGCTACACTTACACAATCCTGGAGCGAGGCGTCAGACTCCTACTGCTAGCAGTGATGGAGTGTAGGCTGAGGCTTGAGCGCTGAAAAGAAGTCTACAATCTGCTGGTTCACTGGTTGAGCTTTCCTCCGCTGCTGCACTCCCAGTCAAGCGCTCTCATTGAATCCTGAAGGACTTGAAACTCCTTCACTTTATGAGGGCCAGTTAATATGATGAGCATGTGAGCAAGGTCTTTGTTCGCCCAAGTCTCATGACTCCAGTTCAAGGTAATCCTTTTGGGAGTCCCATGACCCCTTCTCCATGCCCACAGGGTATTTTCATCCTTCGCTTGAACAAGGCACAATAAATCTACTTTGATTACTGGCCCCTAATCTCCCAATTTGTTGAAACTCCTTTCTTTGTGTTTGCTTCAGAGTGTGGAGGATCTTAGCTTGTGTGAGGAGACGGAGCAGAGTGTCCATCCTAAAAGCACCGCAGACTTGCTCAGAGGCTCCCCAACTTTCTTTTCATTTGAAAAATGTTCACCCCCCCTCCCTACCTCAACTACTTTGATTTCAACCTTATTTGCATAATTGAGAGAATTGGATTCAGACATTCCTTTGTAAAACACTTTGTTAAGACATGACTGGTGTCCAGTAGGGGGTAAGGTCAGTCAATGGTAATTGCAGTTAATCTCTATTTCCACCATCCATGTTTTTTTTTTTTTAGGACTCAACAGACCAGCCATTCAATAGTTTCTCGATCTTGCTTTCTAATCATGGTAATGTGAGATCATTAAGTTTTAATCTTTCTGTCTACAGTCTATTCAAACCAAACCGAAAGCTTTTTATTTACTTTATTCGTGCACTTTATTAATGGCCGGAAGGTATTAGATGAATGGGCTGAGAGGGAGTTAACAAGCACAAAGTAGCGCACATCTGCTTAAAGTCTTCCTCATGTGAGTGATTTCATAAGTTCACCTTTTATGGTTGGAGAGCAGTTTTGGACTGTAACTCAGACTGACAAAGACAAGGCAAGCTGGTGGTTGATGACACACAGAGACAGTGTGAGGAGAGCCAAACACCCCAACGTTCCTCTCGCTCTAATTTAGATTAAAAGGGCAAAAAACACATGTGGCCTGAAGTTAATCATGTCCGAACTAAACAAAACATTTTCCAGAAGGGTTTGGCTGGTGTGACGCAGTCTTTTCAGCTTACTTAAACTCATTAACCACAGCAATTAAAACCAAAATCCAGCTAACAAGCAGCTGGCTCGTTACGAGCTGCCTTTGAGCACTTACCAATAAAGACCCCCAAGAATTAGACACTGCAGGATCAGATTGTGTCACACCACGCACATTAACAGGACTTAAGACAAGCCTCCGAACAAAAAACGGCATTCATTTCAACGAGCAGACATCGCCGAGAAAAGGAAAACAAAAGACAAGTTGTGCGAGAGAGGAAATTAATAGCTGCTGGCCTGTTGAATAGAGACATGAAGTTATATTTCATTAGATGTACTGATGAAATTATGTTTTTTCTTCAAACTTTGACGTTGCATGACGCTCTAAAACCATTAACTGCTCAGATTTAAAGCGCACCTCTCTTCTGCTCCCTCAGCGGGTTCCACAACACTTTTAATGATGCAGTAGACATACTCTCAAAACACATGCAGATCATTTGCACGGCGTGCCATACATTCATTCTTTTTTGTATAAGAATCACATGGGGCTGGTCTCCTGACCCACTGCAACTAGATCACAGTCAATTTGTTCCACTGCAAACTACAATCACACTATTCAGCTCTTAAAGTCATCTGGAGGAGGTGGTATGAAGATTACCTTCAAACTAATACTTGTTTGTATTCTAAGGTATTCAAAGGAACAATATATAAAGAGTAGTAAAGATGTTTTATGTCTAACAAACGCTTCATCCACACGTAAGAGACATGGCTCAGAAAGGATTTTGAGGTCCAATGAGGAATGTATGTCACCAGGGTTGAAGATAAAAGAAACTAATTGCTCTGCAATGGTAGTGAATGGCAGCATGATTAGAAACTGATGCAATGTGACAGGAAGGATAGCCGAGTTCTTTTTACTATCTGAAACAAAAAGAGGTCCGAGCTCGTGGTTAATCCACACAAACTGAAAATAAATGGGCCTTTTCCCGGCTGTCTCTCGAGGTGAGAACATATTTTGACAAAGCAAAACACTCAAATTTCCTGCTCTGGATAGGCAAATTTGCATCAACTGTGAAACACTGAGCCCTGTTTGTAAATGCACTCATTGTCCTCCTGAGTTTGAAAATCCAGTTAGCCATCACGAGTCCAACATGTCACTGATTATCCCCAAGAGTCGAACGAGTCATAAGACATGTTTTAAAGCTGCTGTTTTTCTGTTTTTCCTGAAGGAAAGCCTGGACGAAAAAGAGGCCTAAATAGATCAAAGAAATAAATGTATACCAGAAACAGCAGATTCAGTTCTATTTGTCAATTAATATTGCTGACATACTAGCAGGTTTGAGGTAAATTTTGTAAGCTTATAAGAGACTTAAGATATTTCATGAAATGTTGAGTTTTAAGTGACATAAAAAACAATGACGGATTTAGTTGCAGAGTTGTGCAGAGTTGCAGTGAAAAGCCTCCTTGTCTATTTTATTTGTGAAAAAAGTACAAATGCTGTGGGGGATTTAAAAAAACTTAAACTGAGACTTTAGAACACAAACTTTCAGAGGGGTTGGGTACTAGTTTCCTGCACTGTAGATGATAAAATACAAAAGTTCTTTGTGATTTTGACGGTAACGTTCTTTCTGACCAAGTTTGACCCAAAGTGGTGAGCTGAGGGCCATCCTTTCTTGTAAAGACTAAGCCTTTGTCGGATTCTTTTATACCCAGTCCTGACACCCTCACCAGTCACAAGTTAATCTGATGATTAGAGAATCATCATTACTTAAATACTCTGTTTAGTGTTTCATTGTTTATTCAAAGCTTTTTTAATATGCTACCAGCATCACATTTAAGATATGGAAAAAGGTTGGTGAGTGAAGGAACTGAAAATAAATAATTTCTTATATGTATCTGCTAAATAAAGGTCAAAACTAATAAACAAATCACAGTTTTAGGTTTGTTTCAGAAAACGTGCAGACAGAGATACCAAACAAAATGGGTTTTGTATCTCAACAATGTGAAACATTTCCATGGAATATTGCTTGTTAGTTTTTTTGTGAGTTTTCTTAACACAAAGGAATGGGCTGTTGCTCAGCCTTTAACTCTTAATTCAAGGCTGAGCTTTAGGTCCTGAGCCCTAAAGCTTTTTAAGGATCTTTGGCCGTCACTTGACCTGGGCCACATACTTGCATCACACACAGTCATGTGAGCTTGTAACCCCAGTGAATACCATTTGGTTTGTTAATCAAATTTATGCTTGTTCTACAGTTTCAAGCTGAACAGTTAATCGTTTATGTCAGCACAAAACTCATCTAATTTTATTCACAGCCATCAGACTACAGACATTTTCAGAACATCCATCCATTAATTTTCGTAACCGCTTATCCCCTAATGGGGTCGTGGGGGAAACTGGAGCCTATCCCAGTGGTCAGTGGGCGAGAAGCGGGGTACACCCTGGACGGTCATGGTCAGATCATTTATTTGCTATATAAAAAAAGGCCTGTTCCCCGTAACAAAAAAAAAAAGGATTTACTAATTCCATTAATGTTAATACTATCATCTCAATAAGTTTAAGCACATTTGCTGTCTTTGGCAGTTAAACTTGCATGACTTTTTTCCTCCCTTTTTTGCCCTTTTATATTTCAAATTTTAATCCTATTTCTTAATTCTGTTCAAATAAATTTGGATAAAGGCTGAATCCAGCTCTGTAATAAACCACCAAATGTACCTAAGGCTGTGTCTTGTATCTGGACAAAGAAGATTATATTTCTGACTGAAATCTGTCATGATATGCAAACTGTATCTCATCACTGTTTACATCACAGCATTTGTGACTACTTTAAAGGACAAAGGACCTGTTAAAAGACTGCAAATTGGACAAAGAATATCAAGATCACCAAATGATGCCATGATGTGTATATAAAACTTAACTGTTCAGTTTATGTTTAATGCATTTATTGAACCACTGGTTTTTAGGTATATAACTGAGGATGGTCATCCACTGCATTTCTTTCATTTGTGGAATGTGCATAAGCGTTCTATGATATAGCATTGGTAGTTTATGAACAGAAAAATATAAAAATGACATCAATCTTGCTTTCATGTTAGGAGGAATTTGTTAATCACATGAAAGCAGAGTGCATGAGGACATAAGTCCCTAATCTGTTACGAGCGTGGTCCTCCACAGTGGGGCCATTATAAAGGATTAAAGTTCTGTACAAGAAAAAGTGCAGGCTCAGCATTAAACACCACTTACTCTGCCTTTAAAAAGTTAGAAATAAATACTATATGCATAGTAGAAATTAACCAGCAGTCCAGAGCGTTGTCTATGTTTATATTTGAAAAAGACCTGAGCTCAGGCCTGCAGTTCAAGTACTTTGAATGAGATCATGTGTTTTCAAGATACAAAAGCAATTCAGTTCAATATCGTGCTAAATGCCATTTGGCAAATTGAATAAAGAATAAATGAACAACTCAAAGCACTTTAGGATGAACACAGGTAATACAGGGTTAGCTTTTCAGTGTCACATAGGTCCCCTGTGCTTCATCTTACCTTTTGTGAGCCAGATGTGCTGCGTTTAAGGGAAGACCTTTTAAAGGTGCCACCTGGGCCTTTGGGGTCCATGTTGAAGCCTCAACTTAAAAAAAGGGATCCTCAAGAGTGACAATATTAGATAGAAACTCAAGAGGGCAACATAGCCAACTCATAACAGGAAACTTTTGATTCAAAATTCTAAATAATTAAGCCTATAGTTCACCATCAGTACAGGTTTGAGCGCTTCTCTCTCCTCTCTGCAACTTAGTCCCAAATGAAAAGACAGAGATCCCTGCCAGGGATATAAATCACTCGATGACACACTTGACACATAGACCCTTTTCCTCTGCCTGGCATCCTATAATCGGGCTTAATGCAGCCAGCTCTTGAAGCCTTAGTCTAATGGAGAGAGATTTAATAAATGGTTATTGAAGGTAAATCTACTTTAGTACACCACAACCCTAAAACAAAGCTTAGAGAAACCATGCAAGCTATGAAGCTAAAGTTAGCCAGCGGAAAGCCAAAGGTTGTCCCACTGCATGGGGCTCAGTGTGTTTGTCAGAGGAGACAGTGGAGTCCCAGCAAGGTGCAAACAGACACACAGAGGCAGAACACAGAAATGACCCACAGCTCTGTCCAGATTTTCCATCAAAATGTTGCGTGACTCGTATGATTAAACACGTCTCCCAAAATCATGTTCGCTAATCTGCATATGCGTTTCACTCAGTCTTTCATTGTCATCCACTGATATAGTTTTTGTTGCTCATAAATTGACCAATGCTGAGTCAGCTATTGGTTTTGTTTTCCATGAAATTAAAAATTAAACTTAACATTTATAGTAAGGCGATAAACACTTTGCAGTGTTTGAAAAATGAAAAACATTCTAAACTTTCCATCTGCTCTACTGTTACGCAAAGTCTGTTAGTTGTAGAACTGTTGTAAATATTGATAATATAATATTTCATTTTAGGTTTGTAACAGGAAATTATATCCAGTGATGAAATGTAGCCGTTTTCTCAGACATATACACTTTATGCAATCTACACTGCAGATGGTTTCGGAAAATTTTCCGTGAAGAAATTTGATATCCAGGAACTCCATCTGCTGGATGTGAAATGGAATGGTCTAAAGAGGGCAAAAGGTGATTATCAGTATTTTGATACTTTCCGAGCACAGTTTAAGTAGTCAAAATTTAATGGAGAGAAGTAGAGAATGAAAGTCATCTTGAACAAGAACAATTTGATGACATGACCAAATAAAAAACACATTTCTGCTCAGTACGATAGCTTTACAGTTCACAAAACTGCAAGCATTCGAAACAATCTGTAAGAGAAAGACTCGGCAACATCCTAAAAGTTTAACAATTTTTCTTATTATGTGCAATGAGAGATAACAATACCTGATTTTTTTTGTGTCATAATCCTAAACAAACACAGGTCATGAATCGATGATTCCCCTTTTCCGTTTGTCCATGCCAGCCATATGTCTATCTGTCCAGCTTCTAAGAATGGATAATGCGTAATTTCTCCTAGTAAGCAGAGACAAATGAGCTTTATTATCTGTTAGTGGCTTTGCATTGGTCAGTGGAGGAGATTATTTGTTCTAAGGGGAAGGTGGAGGACAGCACAAGAGGGGGGAATGTAGATGTAAAGAAAAGTGCAAAGATAGAAATAAATAAAATTTATGTATCAAACCAGGGAAAGGGAAATCAAGTCAACATGAAAATCATATATGTTTGAAATAAAAGCTGTTTATGGGTATTTAATAATTAGTTTGATTCAAATAGTTTTTTAATAAGTAACCATCTTTCTTATTCTTTAAAGTTACTTAAGATTAATATTCTTGAATCAATCATAGGGTCAATCACTTCATTTAGATGATGGACACAATGATAATTCAACTTTATGTAAATTATTTGCAGTTTGTGCCTATAACTATATGCATATATGCTGCTTCTTCCCGACGGAGTCACAGGGAAGCTATCCAGCGGGGGAGAGGCGGGGTACACCCTGGACAGGTCACCATCGCAGGGCCACACAGAGATGAACAACAACAAACTCACATTTACTCCATGGGGCAATTTGGAGTGTCCACTCAACATGACATGCAGGTTTGTGGATGGTGGAAGGAAGCCGGAGAACCCAGAGAAAAAACCCATACAGACAGAGAACATGCCCACAGAGAGATCCTGCTCCCCCTGGGGACTTGAACCCGGAACCCTCTTGCTGTGAGGCAATGGAGCTGACCACCACAGCACCCCACTAGAGGTCAGTATTGTATCGCTATGGAAGTGCAAAGCTCTTTCTTGGGACTCACCCAAGAAGCGATTGTAACGTTTTGTGCTTATTCAGTCAGGTTGTCTCAAAGGTCAGAGCGACTACAGCAATCTGCCTGCTCGGTCAGGAAAACGTGCAAAAACGAGCGTTTCCTTCTTGGAGACATTAAGTGAGAGGCTGCTGGTTTGCATCAAGTTCAATTTACCTTCACTTGTTTTACTTGTTAATTTGTAAATGCTTGTGTGACTAATCTTATTACTTAAACCAGATGGCATAAAGCCAGCAGCTGGAGAGCAGGTTTGCGTAAAACTACTTCCACATGGAAGTCTCTGGAAAGAACTCTCATTCGGGGAAGAGGGCATGCTTCTTTGTGTGGCTTCGTCTGTGTTGTGGAAGCTTCTCTTTGTTCTGCGAAGTGCTTACAGGCACAGCCTTTCGCAAGGAAACCCAAACATTCAAATCCACAGAACAGGAGTGCTGCACAAATCTTGTGGGCGGGGGGATAACACCAAGCGAAGCCCTTTGTGTGTGTTTTTGTTTGTGTGTACCAGATCTTATCAAGGTGATTCTAAGTGACCTGCAGAAACAAAGCAGCAAAAGTTGTGTGTTCCTGACCTGGTGTGTAGCCGGTGTTTGCCCTGGTTGCTAAGGAAACAATCTACCCTCTCACCTGAGACCTGGGTGTTTCAGGTGTGTTCAGTCCCCCGGTGCTGCAGGGGAGGACAAACACACTTCACAGCATGCATACGGTTAAATAAATAATGAAAAAAGAACTCTCTGTTACGTTTTCAGAGGGAGATAACCCATCGCAGGCATGAGATTCTTTACAATGTGCTGAGGCTTTGTCTGTGTCAAAAGATAGGGGAACTTCTTTGCAGGAAATGATGTCTTAAAGATACTTTAGAAGTGGGTCATGTACAAACCTGTTACCTCCATGTGATCTTTTTGAGTTCTCCATATGAACACAACTTGAATGCAGCATAGCAACATAAAGAATTTACTGCTTCAAACTCAACATAAAGACAAAATGAAGAGGACATTTGGGCACAGTTCTGCATTTTGTACTGTGCATTTGATGTTTCTTTGTGTAAGGAATAAACCTGCAAAGCTACAAAACCTAAGCAGTTCATTATTAGTTCAAACTCCATCTATCCATTTATTTTCTACACCTGCTTATTCCCAGCAGGGTAATGGACACTGGGCGAAAGGTGGTCCAGACCATGTCTCTATAAAAAAAGAAACACCTCAGTTGTTTTTTCTGCTGTCATTCTTTTTTGTCACCACTTTTGTATAGTTGTTGTGCCTCAGCTAATTTAGCAAACTGTTGAATAATAACTGGACAACTGACTTATCTTTAGGGTAATTGGAGGATGGATGTTGATGGAATTTTGTGGTGAATTAAAACTATATGAGTTTGCTTTTATATTTTATTGGAATACTTTAAAATCAGAATTAATTTGTTAGATAACTACTTTTTCTGATGTCGTTACTATTGATGGTGCAGTTTCTAACATTCATTTCCATATTTTCTGGGTTTTGGCCTCAAACCGAGTATTTGGACTCTTTTAAATATAAACTATCTGATTGAAAATACTATAATGAGTATAAAGAATATTGTATAATGAAATTCAATTGCAAATTATTCCTTTTTCTGTTTTAGTCTTGACAGTTGTGAAGTTTTGGACTAGAGTGCTTGGTGGGCATTAATAAAAAAAAAAAAAGTCTACTGCCACACTTTATAGGATAAAATACCATCCAATCAGAGCTAGCCAGGCCTTTTGTGAAGGGGGGGGGGCCTTAAAGAAACAAAAAAAAACTAAGCACTCCATATGGAATGTGAAAAACACTGCAGCAGTATGCAGTACACTATACATAAAAAACAAAACAACACCTTTATGAACTGAGGAAAACGTATAGTTAAGATAACTAGTCTTACATATTATAGATTTGAAGAAAGGACAAAGTGTTCAGTTTAACCAAGTATTATTAGTTATGGTGGCTCATGCATTGCTTTATGACTCCATTTATTTCTGTTATCCTGTGTTTATAGCATAAGATTGATCCATACTTGCAACACTGGCTGATGATTGTTAGAGACTCAGAAGTAAAGAAATAGAAACTGAATCTACACAGGGTGCATCTTATTTTAGGAGTATGTGATATGATAGTAAAATGTAGTCTTATCATCTAATCCTGCTCTAGTGGTCACGCTAGTCTAATGTCAGCATTAACTGGAGGTTTGTAAGACCGTGGGTCGGCTTGTGACTTAACAGTTTCATTCCTGAAGACCAATGCTGGCTTGTGCAGCTTCTTTAGCCAGCTTCTGCGAGCAGACTGACTCTTCACACGTGATGACAGTAGAGCTGTTCCTGGAAACCCTATTCCCAGGATAAATGCATACAAGGAATCCCATGCTGTAGCAAATAACCAGGCTACTTATCTTCATTTGGCTTTTCGGTGCGAACATGCTGGCATGAGGAATTTCCAACATCAACCCGGGCCCCACACAAGGGTTAACAGGGAATCCATATGGTGCTGCAGGGCCGTAAACAGCAGCTCTCTTAACCTCCAGGAAGTTTCTTCAGTCAACTTTATTTCATAATTTGTCATACTGACAGGAACAAACAGAGGCTCCTTCTTTTGATCAAATAAATGTTGCAAACCCCATGTTTGTGAGTGCAGTATATGTTCTTTCCCAAGGATCAGTGAGGCAGAAAAAGGGGGTGTTGAGTGCTCAGCTGCATAAACTTCCAGAATCAGCTTATCGGCACACATCCAAACAACCAGATGTGGGATTCACTCTCGAAAGCCTTA